TAGAAGTTTTCTGGTAGAGCTTTTTGGGTCTTATAGGTATAGAATCATATCATCAGCAAATAGTGCTAACTTAATTTCTTCGTTTCCTATACATATCCCTTTAATTTCTTTTGTCTAATTGCTCTGGCCAGTGTTTCAAGAACTATGTTAAATAGAAGTGGTGTAAGAGGGCATCCCTGTCTTGTTCCAGTTTTTAGAGGGAATGCCTTCAATTTTTCTCCATTTAGAATAATGTTGGCCAGGGGCTTAGTGTAGATAGCCTTTACGATGTTGAGATATGTTCTTATTCCTAGTTTATCTAGAGTTTTGAACATGAAGGGGTGCTGTATTTTGTCAAATGCTTTTTCTGCATCTGTTGAGATTATCATATGATTCTTATCTTTGAGTCTACTGATGTGATGAATTACATTTATTGATTTCCATATGTTGAACCATCTTGCATCCCTGGGGTGAATCCCACTTCATCGTGGTGCATGATCTTTTTGATATGTTTTTGTATTCGATTTGCCAGAATTTTTTGAGAATTTTTACATCTATGTTTATTAGAGATATTGATCTGAAGTTTTCTGTCTTTGATGTGTCTTTGTCTGGTTTTGGAATCAGGGTGATATTGGCCACATAGAATGAGTTTGGAAGAGCTCCCTCTTTTTCTATTTCCTGAAATAAATTGAAGACTATTGGTATTAGTTCTTCTTTAAAGGTCTTATAGAACTCGGCTGTGTATCCATCTGGTCCTGGGCTTTTCTTGGTTAGTAGGCTTCTGGTGGTGTCTTCTATTTCATCACTTGATATCGGTCTGTGTAAATTGTGTATATCATCCTGATTCAATTTGGGCAAATCGGATGACTTAAGAAATTTGTCGATGCCTTCAGTATCTTCTATTTTATTGGAGTATAGTTTTCAAAATAATTTCTAATTATCCTCTGTATTTCTGTAGTGTCTGTTGTGATGTTACCTTTTTCGTCATGTATGCTGGTAATTTGAGTTTTCTCTCTCCTTCTCTTCATTAGCATAACTAAGGGTCTGTCAGTTGTTTTTCAAAGAACCAACTTTTTATTTTGTCATTTTTTCAGTTGTTTCTTTTGATTTCATTGATTTCAGCTCTAATTTTAATTATTTCCTGCCTTCTAATGTTTTTGGTGTTGATTTGTTTTTCTTTTTCTAGGGCTTTGAGATGTAATGTTAGGTCATTTATTTGTTGACTTTTTCTTCTTTTAAGGAATGAACTCCATGCAATGAACTTTCCTCTTAGTACTGCTTTCAAGTGTTCCAGAGATTTTGATATGTTGTGTCTATGTTCTCATTGACCTCTAAGAATTTTTTAATCTCCTCCTTGATGTCTTCTGCAACTCATGCTCATTCAGTAGCATATTGTTTAATCTCCAGGTATTGGAGAAATTTTTATTTTCTGTCATTGATTTCTAATTTCAATCCAATATTTGTTTATTTTTGTTATTTAACTTCACTTGATTTTCTTCTTTGATTAGCTTTTTCTTTAGGGTTCTACCTCCCTCAGCTGATTTTCATTGTTTTTCGTTTCCTCTTCACAGAATATTTTTCCAAGGATGTTTTGTAGTGCCGATTTTTAGGTATAAACTCTTTTAACTTTTGTTTATCAGGGAAGGTTTTTATTTCATCATCAAATCTAAAGCTTAATTTTCCTTGATACAAGATTCTTGGTTGGCATCCATTTTCTTTCAGAGCTTGATATATGTCATTCCAGGATCTTCTAGCTTTCAGGGTCTGTATTGAAAAATCTAATGGGTTTTCCTCTATATGTAATCTGATTCCTTTCTCTCATGGCTTTTAAAATTATCTCCTTATTTTGTATGTTGGGCATTATTATTATAGTGTGCCTTGGTGTGGATCTGTTGTGATTTTGTACATTCAGTGTCCTGTAGGCATTTTGAATTTGGATTTCCAGTTCATGATTCATGTTTGGAAAATTTTCTGATATTATTTCATTGAATAGATTGTTTATTCCTTTGGTTTGGACCTCTGTGCCCTCTTCTATCCCAGTAACTCTTAAATTTGGCCTTTTTATGCTGTCCCATATTTCTTGAATGATTTCTTAAAATTATCACTGTGTGGTCTACGTTCTTTTCAAGATTATATATTTTGTCTTCATTGTCTGATGTCTTGTCTTCCAAGTGGTCTACTCTTGGTGATCCTTTCATTTGAGCTTTTAATTTGATTTATTGTTTTTCATTTCAAGGATTTCTGATATGTGTGTTTGTGTGTGTGTGTGTGTGTGTGTGTGTGTGTGTGTGTGTTTAGAACCTCTATTTCCCTGTTGAGGTGATATTTTGCTTCCTGTATTTGTTTATGTAGCTCCTTGTTGAAATGATCTTTCACTGCCTGTATTTGCTCTCTTACATCTTCCTTGAGTTCACAGAACATTTTAATCATGTATATCCTGAACTCCTTCTCTATCATTCTGCTGTGGCTGCCAAGGATTCTAATAATGTGGTGTGTTGATTTGTTTGAGGCACTTTCTTCCTTTGTCTTTGCATGTTGCTTGTGTGTCTTCCCTTCTAGCTCTGTGGGTCCTGGGTGTTATTGTTTTTACCCTACATGTTTGTAGTGCTCTTGTAGGGTTCTAACACCTCTCCTTTGTGTGGAAGGACAATGTTAACAGAACCTAATATCAACAATATACCATCTGTGAACAATTTGTTGCTATTAAGATGTTTAGAGTTTGGTCTCAGTGTACAGAAATGTTGGATTTGATCATTATCTATAATAAGTAGTTTTGTAAAAGGGTTTACAGTTTATGATGGTGGACAATGACCTGGGGGTGGGGCATAGGACGATATGCTGAGGAGGCAGGATGTGAGGATATAGAATTAATATATCTTAGGAAGGGTGAAAGAGAAATCTAATGAAGAGGGTTAGTTGCAAGAGAATAGACAAAGTAATTTAAGGTAGGCAAGTACACGGTAAGGCAGTAGAGTACATAAAACAAACACACATATGTATTTAGAAAAAAAAAAGGATGTTAAAATAGTAAAAATTGGAGAGGAAAAGAAAAATGAAAGAAGAAAAAAGGAAAAAGGGCATATACAACGCCTTTATATTATATTATTCAGATGTTCCAGATCTCAAAATCCTATTTCATGCGAAGTTCTTGTTTTTACGTATGTTGGGAAAGTGAGAGTGGTAGAATAGAGAGGTATAAGAAACAAGTGGAAAAAAAAATGCTCGAAGGAAAAAACCAGGATTGTTGCTAGTTTTAGAGATCCCTATTGTCCCTGCTTCTCTTCTCATCCAATAGGTGGGTTGTCTGTTGTAAGCTGGTGTCTCTGCCCTCAGGATGGTGGAGGTAACCGGGGTGGGATGGCTGGTCCTAGTGCAGGGTGCCTGGAAGCAGTGAATGGCACTCGCCAGTCCCTGCAGGGAGACTGCACCTCAAAGGTCTCTTTTTGGGACCACTTATATGACTTGAGCACCTGGTACTATCTCCCTATCTTTCTTGGAGATTTCCCAGTTCCTGGTCTGTTAGGCTCCAAACTTTAGCCCCATCTCCCTCTCCTATAGCAGTTCCCAATTGCAGGAACTCCCACACCGGGGCTCCCGTGGGCAGCATCCTGGTTGTACTGCGTACAACTGAGAGTTGTTTTGTGTTGGGCAACTACTATTGGGTTTCCACCACTAGGAAGAGGGGGAAGTTGGAAAACTGGTACCTGGCCAGCTGGTGTTTGGGTGGGGTTGGGGCAGCCGGGTGATGGCTTTGTGCTGGGGGTAGGTAGCAGCTGAGTGTCCTGCGTGGGAGCAGAGTGCAGTCTGGGGGTTCTGCAGATGTGCTGATAGGTGATTCTGCTAAGGCGCTCTCAAGCTCTGCATTGGCTAGAACTTTGAGGGGTTGGGTGTTGGGAGCCAGGAGTCCTGCGCAGGTTCACAGTGCTGGTGATTTCTGCACGAAAGCAGCTGCATAAGGTTCCTGTAACACTCTGAGATGCAGTATTCCGATTAGTGAGATCGGAATTACGAAGTAGATCTGGATTACGAAGTAACCCAGAATGCTGCCTCCCTCTGGCTTGCCATCTTCCTTCTCTCTCAAACTCATTTTTTATGATATAAAATAGACATATTTCTATTAATTGCATCTGCATTGTCCTCTGCATGTAAGAGAAGAGTAAAAACTATTCCAGAAGCAATAGCATAGGACCCATGCAGTCTTTTTCCTATGAGGCCATCCTGTTCCTCACTGTGATGTAATGTACTTTTTTTTTTTTTTTTAACAACTAAGATGGCATTCATTTTCAAAATGGTACCACTCTGAAAGGGGTGCTCCCCTTCAACCCACAAGTCGTAATTAATCCTTTGGATTTAAGAGCTATAAACAACTTGAAAAATCAGTGAAGAGATCCTGGCCAAGTATGCACCATCTTCTCCATAAATAGGCTAATGGAGACACCTTTGCTTCTGCTGCAGAGCCACTGAGACATTGAGTCTTTAGCCAAGAAGTGCCTGTGATTGGGAAACACCAAAGATCATATAGGGTCAGTATTGACCTAAGGGACAGGTCAGAGATCTTTCAAAAGTATATTAAAGGATTACAGGCAGGGATACCTGCTGAGATCAAAATAAGAAAAATCCAACCTTTGTAAGAGTGTCAAGATTTCACAAAAGTGCTGCCTTTTATAAGTAATCAACTGGAGATTTAAGTTTTGAAGAAACAAAATTGAAAGTTCTATTTAAAATGATAATTAAAATTTTTTAGACAGCTCTATAAATTTTTAACTGGGTAATAATATAAAAGCTTAAAAATTTAAAGCTTAGAACTATTTGAAAGTACAAAAAAATGAAGTAAACCTAAGATAGTCTTATAAATTGAACTCTTATCAAATCTTTGCAAAACATATTCTTTAAACATACTTTATGTAAACAAATAAATTGTTCTCATGCAGACTTCTGCCTTTGGAAATCAACAATCTTTCCCCAGAATTTGACTTTTTTGACAGTGTGATTCTTGTACTTTTTAAAATTATTTCCTTCAGAAAATTACACGGATGATTTTGAAGATGCAGAGGATATAGGTGTACCTTTGATTTCTAAAGATGAAGAGACTCATTCCAAGGAAAATCTCAAATCAGAAAAAATAAATGTACCCAAACAGGTATACATTGATTATATATTTGACAGTTTTGCTGCTTCTTTTATCAACTTGGATGACTATTGCCATATGGGGGGTTCTTCATAGTCTTGTTCAATATTGTAAACTTATTTGTCTTTTGAGACGCAAACATTTTCTTAACTCAGAATATCAATTTAATGTAAAATCTAAAGAACAAAATCAAAGTATCAGTGAATTTATGAGTTATTTTTTTTTTTTTTGCCAGATTATTTCCTCAAATCAAGCTTTAGAAATTGAAACAATTAAAATGTAAAACTTATTTTTAAACTTGTATCTGAAATTACGCTTCTCTTTGGTAGGTCTTTTCCTTGTGAAGTATAATAAATACCATTTCTCAGTATATGTTATTGGTAACATTAGTATCTGAAACTTTACTTTGTTAAGGAAGTATATTATTTCATTCACATTAAGCAGTACCATACTCTAATCCTCTCATTTCTCAGTTCTTCAAGATTTATTCAGGGCTATTGCCAACTGAATAGAATTTATCTTTGAAAAGTTAGTGAGCTAACTAGTAGGATAATTGCTAATTGTTATTCTTCTTATTCTGGATGCAGTCTCTTTTGGAACTGTATGTTACAACTAGATGATTTGAACATGTACAAAACCATAGACTCTCTTGAAGAGAAAAATAATTTGGGGTATCCATAAATACTCCTATCTTCAAGTTTACTTGATAATTTATCCTTGAGTAACTTATGTCACTCACTCTGAGGGGAAAAAGTAAGCTTAGAAATAACACAAAGATTGATATGGCCTTGACCAATTTAATGGATTTTTATTTGAAATATGGCCATTATAATATTTTATAAAAAATTAGTAAGTCAGTAGAAGGCACAGTAGTAGTACAATGTATCAAGAAAATCTACCTACATAAAAATGTGTCAACCTAAGTATGGAGGGCTTAGAGAGAGCTGTCTGCTTAGGAGTCAAAACAGGAAGAAATTAAAGCACTGCTGTTAATGAGAGGACCATACCCACTGCCTAATCCGGTGGGCAATAAGATGATACTAATTAGAAAACATACTCTAAGGAACTTGTAATATTGAAGAACTTCATCTGCCTTTCCATTTGGTGGCCTGGATTTCTAAAAGTTTTGTCTTTTAAAACAGATGAAACACGGAGTGTATGTTATATTTGATTATAATTTTGAATGATAAGGGAAAAATGGTAATGTTATAATTGCAGGCTGTTGTTTGAAGTAACTCTATTATCTTAATGTTCAAAAAAACAGATTTTTGAATAAAGTAAATGAGCACATGATACCTAGATATTTTAAGCAAGGCTTTTTAAGGACTAAATTAGTTTTAGTAATTGGCAAGGTTTGAAAGAGATTTTTAGAAGTTCTTTCAGAACTATAGTCCCTTAGGCTTGGAAAATTATCAGTGAATGAGAGTGGTGACGGGAACCTAAAAAGCGGTCTCTGTTCTTCTCACAGTGGAGTAAAGCACTGGTTTTCAAATTTGTAACTGTTTGCATTGAAGTTGTTTTATCTACTTTTGATTTCACGAACTATATAATTATTTTTATCCTTTAAATTAGGAAGAAGAGAAAACCGGTATGCTGGCTAATGGTAAATATTATGTATACTCATGTGTTTTAGTTGGCCAAAAATTAGTGTGTTCAAAATTCTATCAAAATAATTCTGAAAAATCACTCTTTTGTTTTTAAATATCTCTAAGGAATTAAAGTTCATAACTTTTCTTAATCATGAGCGTATCTTAAATCAAGTGTTACATTTAAGAATGTTTCCTTTTATTTTTCTCAGGCCCTTTGCCTTCACTTATAAATACACATCAGACCTGTATATAATCATAAATATGTATGCAAATGTTAGCCTACTTTTTTGTGCATATATATTTATACACACATACATATAAAATGATATACCATTTAGAAAGGTGTGATGGTGCATGCCTATAATCCCAGTGGCTCAGGAGGCTGAGACAGGAGGATCAAGAGTTCAAAGCCAGTCTCAGCAACAACAAGACACTAAGCAACTCAGTGAGACTTTGTCTCTAAATAAAATACAAAATAGGGCTAGAATGTGGCTGAGCAGCTGAGTAACCCTGAGTACAGTCCCTGGTTACCCCCTACCCCCCAAAAAATTATATACCATTTATGTATAAACATCTATTTTTACGCATTTTATTTTGTTTTATGCACATGATTAATTTTATTAGATCAAAGGAACCACACACATTTCTACGTTCCTTATATTTTTTTCTTTTATATTCTTCCAGTTGTGCTGCTTGATTCATTAGACTCTATTGAAGAGGTAAACCTTGATGAACAAGATAAAGCAACAACTAAGCCAGAGGCCCTACCAGAAAAGACTGAAAATGAAATGACAGGAACAGGTAAAAGGGAAAAGTTGTCTATTCTCTAAATATGGAATACTTTATGACTAACTGGTTTCATTCCTAGGGAAACATGTAAAATAACCATATTGACAAAATTTTAAGTCTTTTTTCTAATTAAATTTTTCTATGGTATTTAACAATTTAATCAGAACTTGCTAATGGTGACCCTTAATGCTGATGGATCAAGTTGAGCATGGTTAAATAATTACTTATAAGAATGATGCTGTTGAAGCAAAGTGTAGGTGAATATTAATTAATTTGCTGTGCCTTTCCAAACTATTCAGTTTAATTTGTCATGTGTAGAAGAAATGGGATCGTTGCCTTACTATGCTTTTCCAAAGTTTCCTTTCTTTAGTAAAAAACTAGGTTACGTCCCAAAATCCTAGGATACAACTAACTAGTCTTTCTTAAAGCTTTGGTCTCAAAAGATCTTTGAGATAATGCTTTCTCAAACATTTTCAAGCAATGAAACCCTTATCTCTGGTTGAAATTTCATATAGAACTCTCTATATAGGCAAAATGCTATTTTCTCTCTCAATATAAGAATATGAGGATACATTGGTAACATTTACCTATAAAATTAGTGAAAACAATAAAATGGTCTTTTGAAAATTTTGTTATATTCTCACAACACTGTCAGTCTTCCACTGTGTGTATATGTTGTTTTTGTTGTATAGTAAAAAATATTCTTGGTTTACCACATGAATAGTTGCAAATGGGAACTTTTTAATCAGCTTGCTTTGCAGTCTTTCAGGATATTTATTAGTGAACTAAACTTATTCAGACACTTGGATAAAAGAACAGTGACTGAATCACAAACTCTAAACATCAGCTTGCATTTCATTTTTATTTTATTTTTTTGTTTTTATTACTGAAGTATAGTATACCTGTAGAAAAGTTCATGTATCATAATAGTGTAACTTAATGAATTTTTAAATACTAAACACACTCATGTAATCGGCAACCAGACCAGAAAACAAAAGAAGACCCAGACCACAATGTCCTGTCAAATCTCTTATTTCTAGTTACTGTACTGCCAAAAGTCATCACTGTCTGGATTTGTTGAACCTTCTTTCATCTTCAAATATAGATATAAAAGTAAAAAAATTAGATCTTTGTATGAGACAGAATTTTTCCATCAAGGATGTTACTCACTTGTTGACCAGCTGACTCTTCTACCATAATGAAAGTGTGTGCAGAGCCCATGCCCCTCAGCCCTGCTGCTATTTATTTGAATAAATATGCCACATAGATGTGATGATAGTCGACTTGCACAGTATTCAGTAAGCAGACAGGAATTATTTTAATGAAACAATGCAAAACTACAACTTTTCTAATCAGAAGAAATTATAAGAAGCTCATATATGTGGAGGATAGCCAGAGAAATTTTAAGATATGCATAAAAACAAGAGAAGGCAAAAGTTATCAAAAATATTATGTCTTCGAAATACCACTGTTTTGGAAATTACATGAGTAGGAAGATCAGGTTTTATTATGATTTTTAAGTTCCAAAGCATAATTTTGTGTGTGATGCTAACCAAACATCTGTGGAGCCCAAGATTTTCCCTGAAAAACTGTGATTATTTTTATAACAGTAGGAAAACTGCTATTGTGGGTTGTTAAGAAAAACTCGAAAATGAGAAGTGTATTGCTAAACACAAAAATTCTAAGATGGCCCGATGTGTAAAAAGCTGTAGTTCTTAAGTTTTGTTTCTTAAATGTTCTTGACTGAAATATTTTGATTAGTCAATTACTAGAAGATAGTAGAGCATGAATTTTCTATCATTTAGACATGGATTCATAGTCCTAGCTTTGCCACTTACCAGCTGTGTGACACGAGACAATTAATTACCCTAAGCCTGTTTCTTCTTTAAGATGAGGTTTTATAATTGTCAATAGAGATAATGTGCAGTACATTGCTAAGATTGTCATCCTCTGCTATAATAAAGAACCTGAAGGATATAGTATAAGCACTTTGGGGCTGCGAACTATTAAATTTAGTGTATTTCAAAATTACGTCCGAAGTCTTCAAATGAGCATCTGAACTTGGTATTAAGACTGATAATTTTGATGGTTGTTTTGTTTACCATGTTTCTCTTAATAATAAGTAGATGGTTTGATTAAAATATTGTCAAAGATTATCTCTTATTATAAGTGATATCATTTGTGAAATTCTCTGCTTTTTGTATTAAGACATTATCAAATATAAAAATGAGATTTTCTTAGCATCAAGCCAGATGTAACCTTTCCCTTACTTTCATTTGTCTCCCAGGCAAGTACCATTTTGTGCTATGGCTGCATGACTGGATAGTGTCACAGAATGATACTACTGCTCCATGAAACTAGGCCCTTTCCTCTGAAAAACAGGATTTGACACTTCTCAATTTTCTAAATTTGAAAAATATAGGAAGCTTTTTACTTGTAATATGTATAAAATAATTACATAGTTTTCTCTTTTTTAATAGGTATATAAGTAAGCCTCCCCCCTCTCACTTTTTTTTTCCTAAAATGCCTGAAGAAAAGTTAATTTTCATGTTCATGGAATTAATTTTAATATGATTGATAAAGGACTCAGGTTAGGAAAAAGTACCTTTCCCTGCTGTTTTTGTTTGTTGTCTTTATCCTCCTTCTCCTAACTTTCAGGTCATTTATTTTTCTGCATGTTTGATCTTTTGTTGCTTTAAAGCCTGGAGGCTCCTCTGACACCTTATTCCCATTAAATTGGGTGCAAACATTCATCATCAGAGTCATTTCTTTTATGAATATTCTGCAGATATTTAAGTGAACTAATATATTTGTAAAGGACAGAAAATTTTGCTTGTATTCTTTTTTTTTTTTCCATAAAAATTCTTTCAGTAGTGCTACTCTAAGTGTGACTGGTGGTTTAGAGGGAAAGTTCGGTTCAGGAAAGATCTTTGTCCTCATGTCCTCTTAGAAAATCTCTGCCCCTTAACTCTTATTAATTCTGTTCGAACTGTATTCCAAATAGCCCTGGTGACCTGAAGCATTAGCTAGAAAGACATTTCACCATAAGGTATTCTTATACGCTCATATGTGGCACTCAACTGTTTCTTACTTTTAGAGTTGAAAATAGCCCTTCGGAGGTGTGCACTGTACAGTTTAAAGTATATAAAAAAGAAAAGCTGTATGTGTGAAGCTATATATATACATACACACACGTATAAATTTTTAAACAATTAACTATGAATATCAAGGGAAGAAAAGACTGGTCACCCTATTTCTTTCACTTTTTTCCCCTCTTCTATGACTTATTCTCTAATTTTGAAATTTCTGCTAGGAATGAAAATTTAAAAAATGATTAAGAAAACACTCTAATATCTGACATTATTGTGATTCGTTTCTTCAAATTATTCCTTATAGAATCTATTTGTCAGCTGGTAGGAAGAAAAGGTTAATAGAAGGAAGAGTTAACAGTGACATTAAGGTTTCTATTTGGGGTAACTGAGTAAATAATAATCTCATTAGCTAAAATAGGAAATACAGTAGAACAAGTTTTGGTGAGGGAGAGGGATATAATAAATTTATCTGATGTTATTTATTTGATGTTAGATGTGATGTACTTATCTGATAATCTAAAGGTCTTAAAGAATTTATTTAGAAAAGAGATAAGGACAAAAGACGTAGATTGGGGAGACATGAGTATATGAGTAATAGTTAAAAATTTAAGGGACTCAATGGAATTAGTCATCTTAAAAAAAAATAGAAGGTTAAAAAAGAGGGCTAAAGATAGACACCCCACTTCCCAGGATAAGCCACTGAATTTAAGAAATGGAGAAGCAGCCCTCAGCTTTGTAGGCAGACCAAGGCAAAGAAAGGAAGAAGAAACAAATCAGTAGGAAAAGGACAATGGCAGGTGTTTCACAGGTTTGAAAAGTACTAAAGATGGATGGATTGGGCCATTAAGAAATTACTTTGGATTACATTAGCTTTAGCAAGTTGTTGGAATAAATAGTGGATTGCACGTGAGAAGGATAAATTGTAATTGAAAAAACTGCATACTACAAGATGGTTTGGAACAGGAGAGAGAGAGAGAGAGAGAGAGAGAGAGAGAGAGAGAGAGAGAGAGAGAGAGAGAGAGAGAATGGTAGCAGTAAGGGAAAGGTAGAATCCTTCAAAGGAATGTGTCAGTTTGGGAAATTTTTATCCAGTTTTAAACAATGCAAAGAGGTTGCTTAAGGATAATGGGAAGAGAGGGCAGTAACTAGTGAGGTCAGACTTTACAGTCACCTTGTCAGACAGGTCTCAAATTGCTAAAATACAGTTATTGAGCCTGTTGTGATTTTTATATTGATAGGCTATAGTCATGGATTATGTAGGTTTCTACTTTGCTGTGCTTTTATAGTGTTGCTATTGTCCTACAGCCTTGTTCACCATTCCTAATTGGATTGAGAAAGGGTAATAGTGTTTTATATTTCTCATGTGTTGATGATGTAATTATACCTAGGAATTTATATTTATTTCAATAGGCCTGTCTTATGGACACAGCAATAGTGACATTGAAGCCCTACATCATGCTTATTGTCATATAGCTCATTCTTTGGAAGATGCAGAAGAACAAAGAACTGAGAGTAATACAGTAGAAAATATCAAGAACTTAGTGAAAGATCATCCTCAAGAAAATGAAGAGTCTTCAAAAAACATCTCTACTACTGAATCTGGTAAAAGCTGATGGGTGGGTGGATGGATGGATGGATATAAGTTTCAACTCTTTGAAACCCTCTCTAAATATTTTCCAGTGTAGTTTAATTTAAATAATAATTTGTCTAAGTGATTGTTTCTGTTTCTGAACTTGAAGGATTTATTCAGATGAAATCCAGAATCATTGCTTTAACTAAAAAGAATCAAACAGAATAAAATTTCAGTTCCTCTTCTAATATGCTTTGACCAAATTAAAACTTAGTTGACATTTTTTACTTTTAATGTACCTATATTAAAGATTTTTAAGATCTCAACTAAATACATACTTAGCAAACATATAAATATAAACCTGATATTGACATTAGAAATATGTATTTGATTTTGATATTTGATAAATATCAAAGGAGACTTTCCTGGTACAAACACATTATGGTGGGAAGCTGGGTTTATTGTGCATTTTGTTAACTATGTCCATTAGAGAAAATGAAAATTAAGTAATTGCCTTTCAATTTTTGGTTTCTCCTTTAACTTTTTCCCCTCTTAGATCTGCCCACAGTAGAGGAGCTAATGAAACCTATCAGAATAGATTCTTTTGGGATCACTGGTCTTGATTTACAACCTGTCAGGTATGAGTGTTTTGGAATGTATTGCACAGGTGAATTGATTGGTTCATTGAGTTTTTAGTTGCTTATTTGTGTACTGCTTTGTCATTGGAAACTTATGCAATCGTTTTTTTTCCACTTACTCCTTCCTAGTGAATTATTAATGTCTAAATTACTCATGTGTATCTACCTATAAGCCTCTGCATGCTCTCTTTGTATTTATTCTCATTCCGCTAATTATCAAAATTCTTCTAGTGCTAAAAAAATTTGCTACTAAGAAAGTTCCTACCATTAATTAGTACTAAAGCTCCTCACTGAAAAATACAATCTCTTCAACTTTAAATAGAATAGAAGGAGTTTATTCACAGTTTGGGGAAAGTAAATTTTATTGTGGTTTGCTTCTTTATAAACCAGTAAGTTTTGACTTAGTCATAGACTGGCCATAATCTCACAGGGTGAGTTCTGTGATGATAGGAGAAAAGGACTTCATAAAAATGCTTTACTGCCAGTACAGTTTAATAGAAAAGTGTGCAACCCAATGTGATTCTTCAACACAGAATAGCACTTTACAGTAACCTTTGCATTTTATGTCACATTTACAGTGTGACATCCCATGTCACATGATCCTCATAATATATAAGACAAGCTTCTTTATTCTCATCATTCAAATCATGAACCTGAATTAAGCCAAACCTAGTGGTGGAACTCTCATAAGAACCAGATGGTGGTCACAACAGCTCACATTTCTCATGCTTACCATGCACAGGTACAATGCAAAGTTCTTTACATACATTATTTAACCTTTCAGGCAACCCCATGGGCATAGTCCATTATTATTCCTGTTTGACAGACAAGAAAACTGAGTTTGAAGGCTAAAATAAATAAATTACCCAAGCTCAAATGATTGTAACCAGAGAACACAGGCAATCTTTAACCATTTGTGTTGTCAGATCTTTGATCTTTATGAAATATTTCTGTGAGACTTTCATCTAGTCACTTGCTTGCTCCTTTGTGTTCAACAGACACATCTGAGCCCTTCCTGCACTACTTATCATGTAAATGTACATGGAAGTGATTTCTTGTCATTATTTCCACATTTGGCCTATTGGGAGGAAATAATACAGTGAAGTTTACACTAAAATTCTTGCTAAATATAGTATTTTTCCACTTATCTTTAGTGCTAGGTAGTATTTTTAAAGGGGAGACTGCTCACTGAGTATTATTGTTTGGAGGTGTGTTAGTGGGGTTGAGGGTAGGGCTCAGCTCCATACAGTCATTTCATGACTCAGGCTGTTTCTGTCATCTTGCTGGGCATCACCCAGCAAGCTTATAGGGAAGGAGAATGATTTTCTTCTAATGGCCTCAACACAGAAGGGCCATAGTATGTCAGCTCACATTCTCTTGGTAAAAATGAACACATCTAACTAGCTAACCATTCCAAGAGGTTTGAGAAATGTGGTTTGCTTATGTGCCTAGAAAGAAAAGCAAATTAGTTTTGTAATTATCTCTGTCAGAATATACCCTTCTAATAATGAAATTTCTATTTCACTCTTCTTCACACATAGACACACTCATCTTCTCCCTAAAGCAGATAGCCCAAAGTACCACTCAGGACTGCCTCCATTTGAAGGACCAGGATTTCCTGATGAAGCGCAGTCCTCTCCATCCGGTTTGGGTGTGGCTCCACCTTGTCCACCAATGGATGAAGTAAAAAGGCAAGTTATATGCTTCCTTTTAGTATATAATGATGAAACTACAACAAATACTCCTATTCAGAAAAGGAAAGTATGAGGAAAACACAGCAACCAATGTTGCAACTTTGAAAACACTGGAATGACTTTGTAAAGACCCCCCACTTTGGGGATAGAGATTTTCCTTGATTAAGTTATTCTAGTCTGCAAGATATTGTTCTGTATAGCCCCTGGTTCCCATCTTTGGAGGATTCAACTTGTATGTTATTACCATTGGCCCCAACCAAAGTAGGTTTTGTGAGGACCGGGTGCCCATCCTGGGGGCTACATTGCTTTCTCAATCCATTTCCTGCCTATAGGTAGTTTTAGTGCTCCCAGTGGCTGACATTTTGCATTTTTGTTTTGTTTCAAATAGGATTGTGTGATTTCAGAAAGTTTTTAGTAACCTTCTGATCTGTTTGATTCCAGTTAGATCCATATGCCAGTAATTGCACTTAAAGTTCTTTGCTAGACAAAGGTTTTAAATCTGCTTTACATCTAGGGTTCCTTGAAACTCTTTTTTGTTTGTTTGGTTTTGCTCTCAGTTTATTTGCAGCTCTTTGGATATTTTGGGAAATAGAACCTTAAATGTGAAATGGATATCTTCATTGCCAAGAGACTGATGAATTCTTTTTGACTGAGATGTCTCATAAAACCTCATTTCAACGCTGAGTTTTATTCTATGGGTCCAGACAGACAGAGTGAATCCAGTGGGCCCCAAGTTTCTAGACTCTTGTCTATTCCCTTATATTGTTCCTTATAAACCAGACCAGTCTATGTGGAGCTCATCTGTTTTTTTTATATATCTTATTAAGTGAAAGCAGCCAGTAGTAGACAGGAGTAAAATCTGTTCTATCCAGCCATTTATCTTAGTACTCCAGGTTTAGTAGGTAAAGAAGCTCTTCTTTATAAGCTGTTGTAGGTGACAGTTTAGCACGTGTTTTGTACTGTAAAACAGATCTTCAGACTCTGCTATCAGTTTCCTCCCACCCACAACCTGACCACTAAGCCACTGCATTGATCTCTTATCATCCTAGCATTTACATTTCCAAAGGCAAGAACTAGTGACAGGCACCATCTAGATGAAAAGTAGCAAGGAAGTATTATTTACTTAATACCCAACAAGAATGGAAAACAATCTTGATTAGGTTCTGCTGCTGTGAAGAAGGAAAGCACTATTACATATTCTGATGATTTCAACAATTAAGTTTAGCAATTACTAGGAAGCCAGTCCATATTTGGGAAATTGGTAGCCTCTTAAACTTTTCTTGAATCTTATTTCATTAATTATAAAATTAAATGACTTAATTGACTATGATTATGATTAAATAATTTGAGAAAAACAATTCTCACTTTTTGGAGTCCCCATAGTTTTCTGGTATTTAACCAAATTTAGTACATTTCCATTTGAATTGTTTCATTTAAGTAGTTTAAAATACAGAAATGGTTTTAAAATCTAGTGATTTTTCTGTTCTGCTTTAAAAATTTCCATATTATGATTACATTTTATGCTTCTTAGTGTTTATACTGTCTTCTTGGCATAAATTATACTTACCTCTTTAGTTTCTTCCAGAAATGTGTAAATGTTTTTTCTGCTTCAAATGCATGCTGACTTAATAAAAAACTATGGACAAAAGGTTCATTACAAAAAGTTCATTTTTAAACTTATATTATGTTTTTCTTAAGCAAAAGCACAATCTCAGTCTTGTTTGATGTGGCCTTTCTTTAAGGTAGGTCTCAGTCACTTATATATTATACTGCATAGTACTCTGTTCTGCTGCATGAAAATGATCTGAAATTAAAAACAGTTATGTGATACTATGTGAGTATCCTATGTTAACCAGAATTGTAAATAATATATTTAACATTTGTAACTTAATTTGGATAGTCAGCAACTTATAGTGTGTATATCTCTGTGTGTATAACTAATATTTGAGGAATTGTGTTACATGGAGTTTATTCTCTGTATCCTGTTTTTGTTTATAGTTCTAAGAAAGTGACTGATAGTAAAGAAGCAGAATATGTTAGCTCTTTACCCCTTAAGATGAATGCAAATATTATGTCTCAAGACCCAAGACACGTGAACCGATATTTTGACAAAAATGAGAACGTGATTTTACAAAAGACAACAAATGAAAGTATGAAAAATAGCTGTCCAGTGGTAACTGCTATGGAAGAACACATTGATAAAATGTACCTTGATATTTTGAAGAAAAAAATATCTGTTGATACTTCATTATTACCTCGGGATGACAAAACGAACAAAGTAAGTGCTTATAATCTAAACTGATTTGCTGTATTGAAAAATGAAGTTATGTGCTGGGGTTGTGGCTCAGTGGTAGAGCACTCGCCTAGCACATGCAAAGCCCTGGGTTCGATCCTCAGCACCACATAAAAACAAATAAACATATTGTGTACAACTAAAAAATAAATATTTTTTAAAAAATGAAGTTATGTAAAGCATATGAATACTAAAAATAAGTATAAGCTAGTGGGGTTGATTACATACTAACCCCCACAGAAGATTCTGAGTGAGGGTGATATTTATTACCACCACCTGCCATTTCCCCAATTCAAAAAACCATTATAATTATAATATTAGCTTTCTTAGCTATTCTTTATACTTTTGTATCTTGTTAGTACATATAGTCCAGAATTTGAATAGTTTAAGAAAATAAAGTTTATTCATCAGTATAGTGCTTATTGTTCAGTCTTTTCCATAGTTTGCACTTAGATATCTAAGTTGGCATTTTACAGGAGTTAAAGGAATTTACACCTCACTGTTCATTTGTCTCTTTTTTTATCTTTTCTGCTTTATAATTTTCATGGTCCAGATATTCTACATGTATTCTATTTATAATTTTGAATTGTGTATTATATATCATCTCATTCTTTTTGGAATAAGGGAGGGTATTAATACAATTTTTAAAGCATCTAAGAAAGTCTAAACAAAAGAAAAATAAGTTTTCAAATGTCATTTCAAAATATGTTCTTCTATTTTCATCTTGGTAATCATGTCTTGCTTTCAGGCAAGCTAATCCGTTTTATTTATTTGCATTACTTCATTTTAATACTAACTTTGAACATATGCTTTAAATGCTTAAATTCTGATGAATTTTAGAGAACTTTACTAATTTGCTTTTTGCAAACTATATTATTTGATAATTACTATTATTTTGCCATCTGTTAAGTGTTCATTAACAACAGTAATTGAAGTTTATTTAGACACTAAAGAGTTTGTGTTCATTGTATACAGACTTTTAGATCTCAATTCAGTTCTGGAGAAGGGACTGTAACTGGTAAACAAGTGCCATACAAGAAGGCCAGAAGTGCACCTCCTTTGCTTAAAAGAAAACCCCAGAGTGGATTATATGCATCCGTTAGGAGCTCAGGCTGTGGCAAACCCAGTTCACCACTCAAGATGTTTTCTACCTTTGAAAAGAAAACTTCAAAGGACATTGGGAGAGGCAAGAATTTGAGATCCATTTCCACCTCAAGTCAAGCTAGGAAAAAAGGTAATAGTGTATTCTTTTCAAAATAGAATTCTGTGCCTATCGTATGTTATTTTACTTTCCTTGTTTCTTATGGGAGAAATACTGTTAAAGATCTACATTGCTTTTCTGGAAGATGTGATGTACAGGAAATTACAGGACTTTACCCAGGTTAGTGGCAGTGACGGTGATAGATAAGGATATACTTAGAAGGCAGAGCCAGTAATCTGAAGAACTACTTTTGGGTTGTTAAAGTTTTAGGCCCAAGCAACTGGTGTAATGGAGTTACTATCTGGAATGGGGAAAGCTATAGTAAAGTAGATTTGTGGCCAAAAAAAGACCAGGAGTTTTGGCTTTTGAAATGATAAATTTTGAGATGTATATTTGACATGCAAGCAGAGATAAGGAAGTAGATATAAAAGTCTGGAGTTCACGAGTGAAGTATGGACTGTAGGTATTATTTGGGAGTTGTCAAAAAAAAATAATAGAGATGGTTTTTTAAGTCAAGAAACTCACTGTGAGAATACCAGAGATAACTAAAAAGAAAAAAGCAAACCAAGGCCAGAGGCATAGGCATGCTAAACTTAATAGATCAGGAAGAAGAGTAAGAACCTGCAAAGGAGACTGTGGGGTTGGAGACCTGACAACATGGAAAATCCTGAAAACCAAGTGAAGAAAGTGTATTAAGATAAGAAGGCTTCTTCTCTGTCATTTGCTGCCAACAGGTAAAGAAAGGTGAGGACTCAGAATTGGTCTTTGATTTTAGTAAGGAGCTGGTCCTCAGTACAGAAGAGCAGTTTCAGTGGGGAGGTTACTATGAAAGACAAATTGAATAGCAGTAGGAGGGAATAGGGAGAGTGGAGTTAATGCTTCAAGTCAAAGAACACCCTGGAGGAAAGTTGCTATAAAAGGCAGTCCAAAAAATGGGAGAGTAGGTGATTTGGGAGGTGTGATCAAGAGATGTTTTTTGTTTTGCTTTGCTTTGTTCTTAATGGGAGAAATGATAGTATGTTTGTATCCTATTAAGAAAGATAAAGTAGAAAGGAAAGAATTGTAGAGAGGTAGTAGAGAGAGGGAATAATTGCCAGGGCAGTATCCTTGAGTAGAAGAATTCTAATGGTGCATGTGAAAGGATTGGCATTAGATAGGAACGTGTGTAGTTCCTACCTTCTGGGAACTGTGGAAGCAGACAGGGAGGGAGAATATATGCTGGTAAGTGGATCTGTGTGGTTAAGAGAATGTGGATGTTTTCTTCTGATTGCTCCAGTTTTCTCTGAGAAATAGAAAATGTCAGTAGATGAAGTGAAGATGGGAAAGAGGAATTGGATGTTGTAGGAGCAAAAAAGATAAAGTAATTGCCCAATAGACTGCTAAGACAGATTAGGAAGTGGTTGTCTTAAAGGTGATACAGAGACTTGGACTATGTCAATGGGAGTGAGTACTGATTGGACAGAAGTTGAAGAAATAAAAAGCTAAGGCACTGAAAGGATCACCAATTACTATATTGACATCCCTAAGAATGAAGACAAAAGTAATATCACAGTGAGTGGGAAAGAAACAAGGGGAATGATAGATGAATGCAACAATACTTTATGAGTAAAGTTAAGTAATGAACTTATTTTTCCATATTTCAAAGTTTTACAGTGCATACCAAAATAAAAATAAATACATTAAAGTATAATGGTGGACCGTGACTGGTATTATACTTAAATATTTTTAATGAGAAAAAGTACTTTTTAAAATAATTATAGTTTATTGAAGAATTGCCTACAGCACTTGGTTAATTTTACACAGAAGTTTTATTCTTTTGGAATAGTTGTTGTCACAGGTGAGTTCTCCAGGAAGCAGACTCAGAGATTAATATTCCAAAAGAATAGAAATTGCAGTTGGAATCAACATCATTTAAAATGAAAAAGAAGCCTAATTAATGGGGCTTAACCAAATAAAAGGGTTCTCATTTTCATGTAACAGAGAGTACAGAGATAGGCAGTTCAGAGCTAGTACAGCTGTATAGGAAACCAGATCCCTTTTTTCCTATTAGGTTCTATACTATGGATTTTCTATCTTCATTCTCACAAAATGGTAGTTTAGCCTTCAGGCCCTGTCCATGAAGTAGAATGAAAAAATAGATGGCAGTCAAATTGTCAGCTTCTTAATTGGGAAAATAATCACTTTCCTGAAAGCCCCACGTAGGAAACTTCTGCTCCCATCTATTGGCCAGAACTTTGATCTTGTGGCCACCCTCAGTTGCATAGAGTTTAAGGAGTCATATATGTTTAACTGAACACACTACTGCCTAGGACTAAAACTGGTCTCTATTAATAGGAAGGAAGAAGAGATCAGCAACTAGCAGTAACTGCCATATGGTTGTTTCTCTTTTTATTCTGTATTTCTTTGACTCTTAACTCCTGTGTCTTTATTTTTAGATTAATTTTTATTTTCATGAAAGGAAAACTTTCCCATTTAAAATTCAAAAGTGTAAGAAAGTAAAAAGGAAGAAGCAATAATTTAGAATTTCTCAGAAACACTGGTGTCATGCCAGGTGAATGTGATTCCAGACTTCTCACTCTGATATCTTAAAAGAAGTGTGAATGAGCAAATGGAAGGAAGGGGACAGGTAGACATGGATAAATGGACAAAACATTTTATAAGAAAGATATCACACTTTACACATTCTCTTTAAATGGTATATTAGACTTATTTATACTTAAATCTGTAAGAAGCACGGCATGGTGGCACATGCCTGTGATCCCAGCAACTCGGGAGGCTGAGGCAGGAGGATTGAACGTTTAAGGATAGCTTCAGGAACTTAGCAAAATCTTGTCTCAAAATTAAGAAGGGTTGGGGATGTGGCTCAAGTGGTAGCGCACTCACCTGGCATGCGTGAGGAACTCGGTTCGATCCTGAACACCACATAAAGATATTGTGTCCACCTAGAACTTAAAAAAATAATAATAATAATAATGTCTGGGAATACAGCTTAGTAGTGCCCCTGGGTTCAGTTTCTAGTAAATCAGTCAATCAAAGGTGAGCTTCTCAGCCACTGAATATAGATATTGATGTAGTTAACCCACCTAACCCACCTACCTACCTTGTCTTTCTAAATTACAGTATACCTGCTGTTCTAAACTCACATTTTTTATTTACTAAAATGAGATATTTTCATAGCCACATCTCACTGGGAACATCCCTATTTGACTTCCAAGCCCTCTGATTCATTTTCAAACCTCCAATATTAATGGCATCCAGGTTGTCCCTTTGATGTAAAAAGACTGGCAGACTACAGGTGTGAACACAACAACCTCTTCATAGCTACCTGGTCTGATATGAAGCACATGTATAATAATTTAATGAAAAAGTAAGCTGTACATTTAAAATATTAGCATCTTGAAGAAATTCTTATAAATTCTGAGTTTTTCATTTACCTCTAAGGCAATCAGATAATGTTTATTGAGTGTTCAGGATCTGTAATACTTGAATATGGGCTTTAAGATCCTGTCTAAGTATTTCCCCTAAATGTTGTTAATTATTAGCTGAGTGATATATTGGCCTTAGAATTATTTCTGCTCTTTAGGCTTTCATAAGTTAACTTGAAGGCAAATATTGAATCAGAATATACATTAATCACTTTTTTCTGATTTGATATGTTACTATGATATTATAGCAGTGTTATTAACTTTTTAAAATCAGATTTAGGTTAACTGTTGTAAAGTCCTCCATGTAGTTTGTTTTATTGATAATGTAATATCTTGTTATATATTGTTTCTAAAAGGCACAATTAATTTGAACTAAAATTCTTAATGTTATCAGGTGTTTTATGCTCTTGGATTCATCATTTAGAAATTATTACTCCTTATTGTACATATTTAAAAGAATAACTTATTTAAAAGTAATAAAGCATGAAGTTATCCCAGTTCAGTCTCCTCACATTTATTTAGCTCCATTTGCTATGTGATGTGTTCTGGGCCATTTAGCCATCTGTGTCACATTGAGAAGAATGTTTATTAAGGGTGTCAGTTCTTTTGAGCACAATTATCAGTGAACACAGCTGTGTTGCCCTGTTGTTCATCAGCCTGTTTGGAGATTCTCCATTTATCTTAATGTTCCTACTGTTTTCATATTTATTGTTACATAATTGCTGAATGCACATCAACTTTACATTTGTGGCATTTTTATCCATTGTTTGCAATATTTAGATATCTTATCTGGAACAAAACTTATCAAGCCTGCAAATTTGAATAAACTGACTCACAAAAGTGAAGATTGCAAGTCTGAAGATCATACAGCAGCTGATTCTTATGTTCAGCTTCAGACTGTAGGTATTAAATTTCACATTGAATTTATAACTTTTTCATTCTAAAATCATTTCAAAACTAAATTGAATTCTAGATAGGGAAGAGGGGTGGGAGGGAAAAGGAGGGGGCAGGGGATTAGCAAGGATGGGGGGAATGTGATGGACATCATTATCCAAAGTACATGTATGAAGACATGAATTGGGTGTCATACTTTATATACAAACAAAGATATGAAAAATTGTGGTATATATGTGTAGTAAGAATTGTAATGCAAAAAAGTACATGTATAAAGACATGAATTGGCGTGAACATACTTTATATACAAAGATATTAAACATATACAGCATAATTTTTCATAAGAATTGTAATGCATTCTGCTGTTGTGTATTTTAAAAAATCAATTAAAAAACGACTAATTACAGTATAATAAGCATTTATACAAATGAGGGATCAAATAAGTATGCACAAGGGAAATTAAATAAATAAATAACAATGTGTATTAGTGCATGCTATATACATATATGGAAATACCACATTGAATCCATTATATATGATTAATGTGCTAATATATAAAAATAACAATATTAATGTGAAATTTCTTTTCCTTCAAGACTGATATTCTAAGCCCTCTTGATGCTATTCTATGTAACAGAGCATTATTAGTCCTGTTATTTTTATTCTTTGTGTCTTTGTTTTTCTTTTTTTACAAGTACCAGTGTTTGAATTTTGTATGTAAAACCATTATAATGAAGTAATGTTTTTCCTTAAAAGGATTCTTCAGGATACTGTGGTGAAAACAAGGAGAAAGAATCATTCATGTTTAAAAGAGTTCAGGAAGCAGAGGAGAAATGGAGGGGCGCACAGGCCCTAATTGAGCAAATTAAAGTCATATTCTCAGAAAAAGAAAAAGAACTAGAAAGTAAGTTGGAAGAACAAAAAAGAGAGCAAGAAAAAGAGATACTCAAATTGAATCAAGAAAATTATATTCTTCAAGCCAAGGTACTAACACATTGTTTTATTTTTATTTATTAAAAAAGAAAAACCCTGTACTCCTTGCTAAACACACTATCATCCTTGATTTGGGCTCTGTTAAATTGTTGTGTTTGCTATAGAAGATATGGAAATGGTGCCAGAGTGTACTTCCTTACAAGAGTGTAAATTGAACCACAGCAGGGAGGGGTCTAAATTTTAATTGACTTTCTTCTGTTAGCAGTCCTTTTTAAAACAAATCTGTTAGTTCATTGTGACCCTCAGAGAAATCTTAAGTTTCAAGAAGGTATATGGAAGTTCTCGATTCTGAGAATTTCTCTAACATTTCTGATCCTTCACTTACCAGAGACATCAGCACAAAACATCACTGATGATTAAACTATAGTTATATTACATTCCAGAGTGGTCAGTATTCTACAACAGTTTAGGTCTAAGCACTTGGTGTTTTCTATTATTCTTCTTAACTTCTCGCTGCATCATTTCCCTTCCCAAATAAAACAATTTCTGCATTTTCTCAAAGTTAAGTGGCTTTGAAGAAACAAACAGAAAACAAAGATGGTTACATTTTGGAGACATAACTGATCCTGTCACTGGAGAAAAATTGAAGCAAATCCAAAAAGAAATACAAGAACAAGAGACACTTCTTCAAGGATATCAACAGGTATGGCAATTCTTTAGGATATGGCAGATTTGCTTTTAATCCTTACATTATAAAAGTGAGGCATATTAAAATATTTCTGTGCCCATGTAATAATTAGACTATTTAGTTATTTCTGACTAAAGTGGAAGAATTAGTGGCTAAGCACATAGGTTCTAGATTCAAAGTGCCTGGTTTTGAGTTTTAGTTCTGCCACTAAGAGTACACACATGGGAAAATCCCCTTACCTCTCTAAGCTGGTTTCTTTATTGGTGAAAGAGGGATAACAGTAATAGTACTCCCTCATAAGGTAATGGTAAAATCAAATAAGACAGTATAATTTAGCTTCTAGTAGGTACACTTTTAGCCTGGCGTAGAGTAATCAATTACTTGTCTTAATAGCCATGTTCCTTAGAAACTATCATATTTTTCTTTAGTTTCCAATAATGCTTCATTGTAAAAATATTGGCTAGTTTGCTCTTATATTCAGAAATATGAATCTGAAATCAGTTGGTAAGGCCCTGAAGGTAACAGTTTTTTTGGTTTACTGTGAGAAGACCTGTTTACAAAGGCACATGTCTGTGATGTGTAATGGAATCTTGGTAATGCTGCCCTAATAGATAAGGAAGGCTGAGTGATCTCTAGCATGAACTGTATCCTCCTTCCCTGTCTCCCATCCACTTTTTCCCTATTCCTCTCCACATCTCCTCATCATTTATTACATTTGTCTCCGTTGATGCCTAGCATATGAGCACTGAACCACGCATTATCACACAGATTCTAACAAAAACTTTGCTACACCTATGATTCACTCTAAATAGATTTTATCAAACACACTGCATCTGTGAGTGAAAACTGTTCAGATTCTTTATCTGCCCTCTAATCTTGCCATATAAAGCAGGAATTTATAATATTTCATGAGACCCAAAGGATGTCAACCATCTCTCCCATGAAGATGATACAATATTATCTGGGCACTTGGAGGGTATCATTAATTATGTACATATGTAAGTGCCATCTTCGAGGCACTATTCTAAGACACAGATAGTCCATAATTTTCACTGAATCTTCAAAATCCCTTAGTTTTTATCACATTCTTAATTTTAAAGAGATTGGTAAGTTAGAGAATTTAAATGCCAGTTGGAACTTTTTCTTCTCCCTCTGATCTCAGCTGGTTTGAGTCATTCTTTAGCTCAAACACCAATGTTAAATGGGTCTGTTCTTTGCTCTGCCTTGTCCTGACAACTTTCAGAAACACTAGGTCTTTAACTCTTATCAGTTTCAGATATAGGAATGAATACCCATTATGGATACATCCGACTGTCTGATTATCTCACTGCTGGAAGCTAGCCTTCCAGAGTCTTCCAGGATTGATCCCCCTACCCCACCCCCGGCTTTCAGGACAGAAACAATAGGATACAGTGTCCCACTGGGCCTTCCTTCCCTGGCCAACACAGTTGGGATGTTATGATACCTTCAGAGACCCTCTCACTTACCCCTTGAAATTCAGTGTGTTATAAAGATACTGAGCTCTTAAGCTTTATGAAATTTCACAGCTTTTCAGCCAAGCATTTTAAACATTTTGGAAATAATTGTTTTTAGACACAAAGTCTTCTTCTAAGACAATGTAAAATATTTGAAAAAGATTTTACATACTCAAAGAAATTTAAAAGATAAAAATATTTAAAAGATTTATCTATTACAAGTATATTATATAAGTACTACTGACTTTTAACTAAAATGCAATTTTCTGTTTTTCAAAAGGAAAATGAACGTTTATATAATCAAGTGAAAGATCTCCAAGACCAAAACAAGAAAAATGAAGAGCGAATGTTTAAGGAAAACCAGAGTTTATTCAGTGAGTTAGCCTCCTTAAAGTAAGTCCTTTTAAAACTCTTACAATCAAATATACTCATTGTAAGCATTAGTATGTTAATAATATACTAGTTTTTACTTAGAAATAATATTTACTTATTTTCACATTTATTTTTATTTATACACTGATGTCCAGTTTAGTAATTTTTGCATATTGGATGACTAGTACATATTTTAGTACTATTTCAACATATTCATACTTGAGTATGACATCATTTTCAGAAAATTGAAGATAGTGTTTCTCTTGATCAGTCATTAAGCCTGAGATGCAAGTCCACAAGATCACTTCAGTCTTAAATCAGGCTCTGTAGAAACAGAACCTAAGATGGAGATCATTGTGAAGGTGATGTGCTGTGGAATAACTTATCCTCAAGAAAAGGGGAACAAGAGAGACAAGTTGGGAAAGGGAGAGAGAAAGTAGGTAAGAATATGATTTCTACTGGATGGAGCCTGGCTTCATTCTATTTCCTCCAGGAAGCTCGGGAGAATAGATTGTACCAGAGGGCATCCTCAGGCACTTACTGGGTGACCCTGGGAAGGAGTAGGAGATATCCACTGAGCTAGGGATTACCATTTGGTTGAGGGCATTTCTCCAGAGGAGGAGACACCTGTGAGTTGATATCAGTGAACACTTACCACAGAAGGCAATAGAGTACCAGCACCTCCCTACTCATATTTCTGATTATAAGCTCTTTTGAATGTTACTACTTCCAGCTTTAAAATATTAAGTAAAAATGCTGAACCCACAAATATGGAAAAGCTAAGATGCTGTCTTCTTTTTGCAAATGATTAGTATTTGTACACTATTATATATAAACACTAAATCACTCAGACAGGACTATTATTAGGAAAAATTTCTTTGATCATAAATATTATAAGTTGACTATGTTTATTCATAGTCTTCTTCCATTATAGTGGTTGTTAGATGAGCCTGGGGCAAAAAAGGCATGGCTGCCATTAGCTCATATTGGTCTTTCATGTAAAGTCGAAGAAGGCACACCCCATAGCAGACAACACTAGCAGCCACATGGGTTGCAAAACAGGACACCTTTGTGTAAATTAAAAAAATTAAAAATGCCCATTTTTTCTGGGTAGTATAACCAAAGCCAAGTATGATGATTAGCACAGTTCTAATACATGAAAGCAGTTATATTTGCTTTCTTTCTAGATGTTTCCATAACGAGTTTTAAATTGTCACATCTTACACTACCTGGCTTGTAAAAAGAACTATTGTAGGATGCCAAAGCTAAGCTCTAAGTGAACTTTCATGATGAAATAGTTTCTTTAGTGTACTAGAGCTTGGTGGTCTTATATAAATTTTTAAACTCTTTATATAATGTATCTGGAAAAACAGAAAAATTGAATCTGAGGTCTAAATAGTAATGTTTGGTTTTTTTGGTTTCCATGAATAAAATTGGCAATTTTTGTTCCACAGAAAGGAGTGTAGAACAGTGGGACAAAGAGTATCTTAACACCAAAGAAAATTAACAGCCAGCACATTTTTTTTTGCACCACTGATTTTTTTTTTCCTCTGAAAATTGGGAGAAAATATTTTTGTATTACAAATAAACCAATAATTTTAGGATTTCAATTATTTTAGATGAAATTAAGCATTTCCCTTAAAGTATACTTCTGTTTTTATAGGTTAGTATTTTAACCTTTAAATTAAATGAAATTTTTATCTTCAGTGATTTGTAAATTCCAATATTGGTTAGTATTTAATTTTTAGAGTATAATATTTTGTATTTAAAGGAGTACCTTATAAAAAAGAGATCTCTTTTTTAAAAATAAATTAGAGAACAGATACACAGAAGTCGATTCCTGTCTCATGCAGTTGAAGATTCAGAACCCACCAGAAACCAGAGTTTTACAGATCTATTAGCAGAACTACGGGTGGAACAGGTAAGTTGCATAAGGATTTTAACTATTAGTGACAGTAAAGATCATTATAAGAATCCCTACATGTGTCAAAAAAAACCCTGTTTTTATAATACTTAGATGAGTAAGGTATTTGTTTAAATTTTTCACTACTGTAAGCATAAGAAAACTTAGAGGAGGAAAAGTTTATTTGGAGCTCACAGTTTCAGAGGTCTCAGTCCATAGATGGCCATCTCCATAGCTGTGTGCGTCAGATGTAGCAGAACATCGTGGTGGAAGATGTAGCAGAGGAAAGCCGCTCAGGACATGACAACCAGGAGGCAAAGAGTTCCTCACCAGGGAAAACATATATACCCCAAAGTCATGACCCATTTCCTCCTGCTACATCCTATCTGCCCAGTTAATCCCTATTGGATTAATACACTCGTTAAAACAACTCTCATAACTCTGTCATTTCACCTGCAGACTTTCTCGCATTGTCTCACTTGGGGACACCTTATGTATAAACCATAAGACAGTTTGTAAATTTATGCCATTTTAAAATTCAGAGACTAGGAATGTAGCTCAGCACTTGCCTACCAGGCATGAGGCCTTTATTCTATCCCCAGTACCGGAAAGAAAGAAAATAAAAATTAAGAGCAAATATTTGATTAGCATTTAGTTTACATGTAACCTTAACTTTAGCGCAATCAACATAATACTGTATGTTTAGATAGGATCTTCTTTCATCAGGTGTTTATGACATGAAACTATATCAAAACTAGTTCTGTTTTAAACAGAAGTATTGTATACTTACATGCTTTATGTGTCCCCAGGAACTATATGCTTATAGCACCCAATAATTTTTAACAAAGCCACTCTGCCACATTTTTCAAACATCCTGCGTAGAGTTACTTCTCCCCTCCCCTCCCATAAAAAGGCACAGCACTAAACTGAAAAAACCTTTTCAATCTGTTCGAATGATTATGTAAATAGAAAAATTTAAATTATGTACTAGTTTTTAGTAAGAAATTTATTGTACAATTGGGTCACTTAGAAATCTAAATGTAACATAATTTAATAATTGATGTTTAACAGATTTTTGTAGCATGTAAAATGCACCTTCATATATGAATTCATGAGGGAACTTCAGAAGCATATGTGCATGCATGTATAGAATGATTAGGCACATTGGTGTAAAGAATAAATGACTGAAAAAAAAATAAATGACTGGATACCTACTACCCTTTATTAGTGAGCCTCAAAAATTTATCAAGTTAAAACAAATTAGTTTTGCCATACTTTAGATGAAAGGTTGGAAGAATATACTATAATATAGTACAGTCTTCATTCAAAAATTGTTGTTTAGGGACCTTTTTAAAAGTTCTGTTTTGAACATTTTTATGACAAATTAAAAAGATTGAATTTCCACCAAAATACCCAAAAAAAGTACTGGGTAAAATATAGTAAATAACACAAAAGTAAGGAAAATCTCTAGGGGGCCAAAAAATAAAGAGGAGTAAAAACCTGGCAGTAAAAGTATTTGCTCTTCAGGTCTCCGGTTCAGTAACCACAAGGCCTAAACTTTGTTTTTTTTTTTTTTTTTATGCTAAGGATTGAACCCAGGGTTTCTTAACCACTGAGCCATATTCTCAGCCCTTTTTTTTTTAATGTAGTTTATGTAGAGACAGTGTCTTGCTGAGTTGCTTAGGGCCTCACTAAATTGCTGAGGCTGATTTTGAACTTGCCATCTTCCTGCCTCAGCCTCCCCAATCTCTGGGATTACAGGTGTGCACCACTGCACTGTCAAGGCCTGAACTTTAACAGCTAAGTATTGTCATGCTAAACAACACAGAGAAAGATTCCTTAATAAAGAATTAAGTTTATTTGGAACATGCAGAGCATTGCAATGGAAATATATTCATAGTAAACTATGACTACTCAAAGAGGTTGAGGAAAGGGGAAGTTTTTATTGATTGATTGGGGTACTGGGGATTGAACCCAGGGAAGGAGTAGTTTTGAAATTCAAAGAGGAGAAATCCAAGTAACTTACTTGGATTTAAAGTTCATTGGTCTTGGAGACCTGAGGCATGAGCTCATTAGTGGAGATGCTGTTGCTGGGCAATTATCTCCTGTGAAAAGTACCTTATCTGAATTTCTGCAGTCTTAAAGAATACTACAGTTAAACTTTGTTACATAATTATGTGATATATGTGAGGCTTGCACAGGCATGGCTACACATAGAAGATGAAGGAATTTCTAATGGTTGTTTTTGATTTTTTGCAAAAGTCCTTGTCTCAGACATGAGCCCTTACCCCTTTATTTATTTCCCGACACTACTTTTGTCTGGGCCTGACAAGAACAATTTCATCTTGGTATCAGCAACTTTCACAATATACTCAGGATATCTTAAAAGGTGTATTAAGAATTGTAATGCAAAAATAAATAATAATTTTTTAAGAATTTTTTAAAAAAGGACCACATCTTTAAGCAAAATAGTGGAGTTAGAAAAAATTCCAATCAATCTACCTGTGTATCTAATCACTCTGTATATACATACATTACTTAGAGACTGAGATGCCAAGAAAATTTTTCTGTCTCCACTTCTCATGAAGAACTTATAAGCTAATGGAGAAGATAGGCATTAAGTACACAAATAATTACAGATAGAAATTAGTGCTTTGAAGAAAATTAAAACAATAATGAGAAGCAAGGTAGAGGTAAGGCAGCCTTTAATAATGGGGACAAGGAAGCTCTCTGAAAAAGATGTGAGTTGAGAGCTTAAGAGAAGCAGCAGCCAATCATGCTGAGGTGGAGTCTTTAGATGGTGTCTTTAGCCAGGTATAAGAGTAAATGAAAAAGCCCTGAGTTAGGAATGTGTTACCTTTCTGGGAAGCAGAAATGAGTGGGAAAATATGAGCCGTGGAAGATTAAGTCAGACAAAGACCTCTGAATGTCTGCATAATGAGTTAAAGGAGAAGGAAAGTAGTACTACCTACCTATGGCCCACAAGATTAACTTGAGGCATTCAGGTTTTCTTGAAGGTGGGCAGTTTCCATCCCTGGATATATGCAGGCCCAGAGTGGACACCCATTTAAGCATTGATTGCCAGACTTAAACTCGAAACGTTTAAAGATCCTTTGGATTCTAGCATTATGTAATTCTATCAAGTAAGAACTCCTAGAGAACATTTCTAAATTAAACTAATTAAACAAGGCATTTGCAAAAAGATACCCAAATATTCAAAAACTCAATTATCAGTGCTCCTGAAAAGACATCCATAGACAATTAAAATGATAGTTAAATCTGTAAGGTAGCTATAAAAAAAGATTATACAATGTTTTATGAATACACTCATTTTATTTGCAAGATTTTTAAAGTGGTACTAATTTAAAATTTGTTATTTTGCTACCAAGTATACTGCCATGAGTCCCAAGAGTTTATTGTTTTTTTTTTTGTTGTTGTTGTTGTTTTAGCAGTTGTGGATTTGGTTCATTAAACATTTATTGACTACATGCCATGTGCTTAGTACCATAAAGTAAACAGTAGCAATTAATCTCCATTGAGCTTTTAGCCTAGTAAAGAGAAGGGGCATGTACACAAATCAATGTTACATGAAATAAAAAGTAATACATGCCACGTTAAAAGTATAAAAGTTTGTGGAAGCACAGAAGAGGGTATTATCACTAGTCATTTAGCTGAATTTGAGCTAAGTTTTGAAGGGTAAATATGATTTTTGTCAAGCAAAGCAATGGGGCATGGCACTTTGAGTATTGAGAGGAATACAGGACATTGAGAATCCATTTAGCTTTTTTAAAGTCTCAGGCATTTTTTATGCATTTATCATGCAAAGAGTAGCAAAATAAAATTCTGCTTTTGGATAAATAGCTAATGTGTCAGAAAGTAATGAGTGCTATGTGAAGAAAATGAAACACTGTACCTGGGGGCCAGGATAAGGCTTGCTGTTTCATAGAGGATGGTCAGAGTAAGCCTTCCTGAGGCTTCATTTAGGCCAAAATTCCAATAAAATGAAGAGCAAGCTACCTGGCTATCCAGGGAGAAAATGCTGTAGGCAAAAGAGGCAGTAAGTACAAACTCCTTGAGGTAGGAGAGTTCTGGGGGTATTCAAAGAACACCAATGAGGTCTCTGTGTCTAGAATGGAAAAGGAGAGAAAATATTTGGTCAGTCATGGTTAAGGCTGGATTATGTGACTGAAAGTCATGCTAAAGACTTTGTGTTAATCCCAAGAAGAACCACCTGAGTGTTTTAGGGCTATGATATTAACTGTGTTAGCTTTTCCTCACTGTGATCAAAATACCTGATAAGTAAAATTTAGGGGAGGAAAAGTTTATTCTGGCTCATAATTTCAGAGGGTTAGTTTATGATCATCCAGCTCCATTGCTCTGGGCCTGAGGTGAGGCAAAACATGACAAGCTTGGTGGAGGAAGGCTGCTTGGATCATGGTAGCCAGGAAGCAGAGAGAAAGGGGAAGTACAGGAAAGCACACTACCAGTGATCTACCTCCTGCAGCTGCACCTCCCCTGCCTACAGTTTCCACCCAGTTAGTTCATTCAAACTAGGATGGACTGATTAGGTTACAGTTCTCATAATCTAATTATTTCACCTCTGAATATTCCTGCTTTTAGGGGACCCCTCATATCCAAACCATAATGTGAACTGACTGCAACAATTCTGCCAACTACTTTGAGGAACATAAACTATAGTGGCTCAGGGTAGAAGAAGCAGACTAGATAGGAGGTTATTGCAACAATCCAGCAAGAGATGAGCAATTCAGGCAAATGAGCATCAATATGGCTAGTAATTAGAACAATAGATTGGAAGATCTTTAATACTATGCTGAGAAGATTAGAGCTAATTTTAATAGGCTCTGGGAAGCTACTCATGATTCAGGGTGGGGCAGGTGATAGTAATAAAATCAGAACTAAAATTTAGAAAAAATTTAACAGCACTATTTTTGATGGATTGATTGCAAAATCTATACAAAAATCTGTTGTGTTTGAAAGTAATTTACTTTTGTGTTTCTCTGTTATCAAGAAAGAAAAATACGGTTTATTAGAAGACATCAAAAGATTGAAGCAAGACAAACAAGGTCTTGAAGTAGACTTAGAAAAAATGAAGAAAGAGCGGGACCAAGCCAAAGATCAGATTGCTTATGCCACTGGTAAAACACTGAGTTGAAACAGTTTAGAGCAATTATGAGTATAAATGTAATCTTTAAGTAGTATAAATTTAATTATCACTGGACATGAATCTGAGAGGTCCCTCTAAGGGGCCAGTGGAACTTCAACTTGAGCCAGGAGGGTTCTTGATTTATGCCAACTGGAAAGAATTTCAAGATGCATCAAAACAAGGCACAAGCAAAGATTTATTAAAGGACAACAAAGTAAAGGTATACACATCCCAAAGGCAGGATGCAGATACCCCTCATCTCTCCAAGAAAAGACAAAGTGATGCACCCAGAGTAGAGCTCTCTGACTATATATAGGATTTTCCTGGGAAGAAATGTGGAGGTTCCCAGGCAAACTTGTGAAAAATCACACCCTATGTCAATCATTTGATATTTGCAGTTCAGAATATATCTTCTTGGTTAAGTAGTCTAGCTATAAATTGATCGTGGGTACATTGAATCTTAGGTCTTTGAATCTGCTGACAAGTGATTGTTTTTGTCCTAAATGATCTAGTACAAGCATACACTGGAGATTTTGTTCATCTAACTGAAGAGACAGCATGGCCAGTCATGGTATAGATCTGGGTCTCCATCTAATAAGAGTTTTATCTTTTTCCCAAAGAGCCCTCCTATCTCAGAATGATACAATTAAGACTATTCCTTGACGTATATTGTAATTTCAGAAACATGTTTAAAGGTACTACACTTTTTAGCAAGTTTTTAATCAGCTTTAACAGGAATAGTTACAAAAATCAAAGAATCAAGATTTTGAATTTATAAACTTTTATAGTTAGTTGTTTACATGTCTGTCATTTCAGTGGGACCAAATTTCCCAGTGGCAGGATCTGTCTTTTTTTATCCCTGGGTTTGAAACATTATATGGTCTTCAGTATTTGCCAAATGAACACATAATACTGCACTGTATTTTATAGAGAATGCCAGTCTCCACTGTCAAAAGGGAGTATAAGATAAGAATGCAGATAACTTTAAGAAAAAATTTATGAAAAAAAGTTACAAATAAACAAGAGGAAATGGAGTGCTAAATAAAATTTTCAGAGAAGAGTGTCATTTGAGCTGGACTTTCACAGATATTAAGATTGGAAAGTGAGGGAAGCTGCTTAAGTGTGTACCCTGAGCACATTGTTAAGTGCACCTGTGGATGGGAGCTTAGGCTAGCAGAACACATGGCTGGAAAAATCAGAAGAACTCTTGTTTGCCAAAGTAAGGATCTTTCCTCTACAGGGTCATTAGCTTCAGTGTAAGGTATGCACAAAGAAATCCATTCTTACCTGTTTGTAAGAAAATGACATTTGCTTTCCTCCTCTGTAGAATAGAATAATGATAATGAGTTTAAAAAAATTTTTTAAATGTTTTAAAACTTTTTTCTTGAAGTTTATTGTGGTAAATAAATTAATACATGCTAAGCACTCAGGAACATTTGCCAGTGTTCTTTTTAAATATAACTGTAGGCATTCTTCATTTTTATCTCTTTAATCAACCTTTAGTTTTCCATGAAAACAACTTTACTTTTATTAAAAAAAAAAAAAAAAAAGTCAGTGGAGAAAAAAATAGATTTTTTTTTCAAAATTTCCATATCAACAACTTTGAGATTGAAGATTTGGATTATAAATACAGTTTCTTGTCTCCCATAATGAGTAGATACATACACTACATTGTATATCAGTTATTTTAGGTCTCTTATTTCTTCATAATGTTTTAATTAAATGGGCAGTGGTTTTCATTCAAAATCTTTTTTCCATACTTAAAAAAATTGCTATCAGGTTATTGAGTTATTTTTTTCTATAGGTGAAAAATTATATGAAATAAAAATTTTAGAAGAAACACATAAACAAGAAATCAGTCGTCTGCAAAAAAGGTTACAGTGGTATGCTGAAAATCAGGAACTTCTGGACAAAGATGCAGCTCGGCTTAAGGAAGCAAATGAAGAAATTGAGAAGCTGAAACTTGAGGTAATAGACCATTTCAGGATGTATTTCTGCAGATGAACCCTGTTGTCCTCATTGTCAGTTCTATATAACCCTGTGTCATTGCATTATTAATCTGAAGCCTGTTAATTTAAATAGATGGTTTAGGTTCAGGTTTAGATAGTCAATTTTAGATTAGAATTGAGAATAAATGCAAGCTCCTCATCACAGCCTGACAGATTGCCATGTAGTTTGAACCCTGCCTTCCTCTTCAGCCTTGGCTAATACCTACTCCCCCAAGTCACTCTCCTCCAGCCACACCAGAGTTCTTCTCATTCTTGGCATGTGCCAGCCTTGTTCCACTTATTGCCTTGTCCTGGAATATTCTGGCCTCAGTCTTTCCATGTTCACTGTTCTTTCCTGTTTAAGTCTCAGCTCAAATTTCTATCCCCCAGAAAAGACCTTTCCTGACTCACTTATCTATTGTACTTAGGTATTGTAATCCCACCCCTTCTGACTCTTTGTTCTTATTTTTTTCACTATTTTCTTCATAGTACTTGTCACACTCTGAAGTAATTTTATTTACTAATTGATTGATTTATTAGCTTGTCTACTATCTTGCAAAGCAGTAGACTATGAGAGCAGAGACCCAGTTTGTCTTCTTTGCCCTCTTTATCTTCAGCAGCACCGGGCTGTACTTGGCACTCAAGGAGGACACTCATTCAGTGTCTGTTGAGGAACTAATCAATGAATGAACCAAAATTATGCTTCCCCCAGGCCTTTCCTGGTAGGTTTTAAAAATACTTAACCTGTTCTTTCTTTATTGACAGGTTGAGAAATTGAAAGCCGAATCTGGGAATTCATCTGCTCAGCAAAAGTTACGTTCAAAAGATAGAGCATGTGATGCCAAAAAAATTCAAGATCTGGAGCGACAAGTATGTGTTAAGGGTAAATCTTAAGGCATTTTTGTGTACAGGGCATTTTGTTTGAGGAGTCTGCATTAGATGTAGTTAACCTGGAGAATCTTGTTTTAAAGTAACATTAATTTTTAAAAATCACTGTATAATCTATAGCTTTATAAAGAATTTTTATTTTGGTTCCAGGTCTATTAGACATCTAAAAGAAGAAAGAAACAGAATTTTAAAGTTCTGGATATAGAGTTAGGTATTCCTTCTCATAAACCAGGCACAATGGTACACACTTGTAGTCCTAGCTACTCAGGAGCCTAGGACAAAAGGTGGCTGGAGTTCAGGACAACCTGGGCAACATAGCCAGACCTCATATCTTTCAAAACAAACAAATTACTACTACTTCTGACCAAAGAAAGATAGGTGACAGAGGAGCACAGGAAGAAAAGTCCTTGAGTTGGGAACATGTTGATAATGCTTGGAAAATGTTAAAATCATACAGAGGATCTAATTAGGCATGTCACCACCAGGCATGGTGGTACATACCCATATTCCCAGCTACTTGGGAAAGGCTTAGGCAAGAGGATGACTTGAGCCTTGTAGTTAATATAATTCTGCCTTCACCAAAAATTACGATTATTTTTTTCATCTGTTTAAAAAACACCTTAATATAGCATTTATATTCTTAACTAAACATTAAAATAAGAATTTTCAGCCTTGTTCATAAAGGAGCATGATTCTGTAGTCAATAACATATGGCTATTATTCCATCACAAATCTCAAACTGTGAGGTCATCAGTGGGATGAAAATTATCCTAGTTTTGTGAGCAGGAGGAAAATTAAAAACTTTGTTACTTTTACAGGACATTTGCTTACATTGAAAGGTATGATTTAGTAGTTTGATTCAGGGGACAAGAAACGAAGAGGAAAAAAAGAGGTTTGAAAAGCTAAAAATATTCTAGAGTGAGTGTAGTCCAAGATTTTGCTTCAAATTTAAATTAGCCAATGTAGAAGAAATCAAAAATTATGGGAGAAAAAAGACCAAAGAAATCACCTCTCCATTTGATGACTTTTTAAAGAGAAATCTTGTAGAACTGAACGTGTGACAGTAAAGAAAGAAAACATACTAAATATCAAAATTAAGACTTCAAATAGTGATCTATATTGACCAGAAATACACTGTTTTATAAAAGTAACCTCTTTTATTAACACTTTCATAAAATATTCATTGATTTTTATCACCTTAGATTATATCTATGTAAAACGTTCATCATTTAATAGTATTTTGTGTAGCTATAATACTGCATGTACATTTCAGATTTTATGTATTCTGTTTTCTTAGCATTTTAATAATTGCAGACCTGAATATGTATTTTATAATTAAGGTATACCACAGTATATTCAGAAACAGATCAATTATAAATATTTATTTTTCTAAATAGAGCATAAGTAAAAACAGGGCTAATTAGATACATTTTATAATTTCAAATTATGTGTATTTGTTCACTTTTATTTAATGGAATATTTCATAGTATATTTTTTAAAACTCTTACTGAAAACTAAACTATGTATACCAGTTATATTGGTCCCATTGACCAAAGAATATTTTAAGGCAAAATTAAAGATAGAAATAAACTATAATATTTTTAGGAAAAACTAAAATTTAAGATATCACAAAAAAAGAAAAAAATTTCAATTTAATTTTGATAATTTCCAGAGCTTCATGCATGCTAGGCAAGCACTCTACCACTAAACTACTCCCCTAGCCCTCTTTTTTTAAAACCAGGGATTAAACCTAGGGATGCCTAACCACTGAGCCCATCCCTTTTTAAATGACAGGGTCTCACTAAGTTGCTGAGGCTGGCATTGAACTCGAGATCCTCCTTTATAAGCCTTCTGGGATTACAGGCAAGTGCCACCATGCCTGGCTCCCCCAGCTCTCTTAAAATTTTAAATGACTACATTAATTATAAATATTTTAACAAATTCATTTAAGAAAATCTAGTTCTTTTTAATATATGTGGTATGTATTCTATGCATATATTTGCATATGCTTACAACTTCATCAAATAACTAGATTTTTAATACAGAGGAAACAAAGCTTAAGAATTTTTATAGATAAAATAAGGTATTAGTATTTGTACCTAGATATATCCCAGTTTATAGTGCATCAATGAACATGCAAGCATTTACTATTAATTTTGCAAATGGTATGACCCTTAAATAGCTAATATGAATAATATTTAGTATATAAGCAGGATTTTGAGCACCAGCAACTCATCTTGCCTTAGGTAGTTTTTTAGAAAAATTCATAATAAAAGCCAACATTTATCAGTTCCCCAGTAAATGCTGGGCCCTCTCCCAGGTGCCCAAGATGAAAACCATCTAATCTTCACTTAATTCTATCACCTTATGACTATACTGTTAGCATACTCATTTTACCCACAAGGCAAGAGGTTTAGATTAAGGAGTTGACCCAGGGTCCTAAGCTGGTGGTACAGTCAAACCAAACATGCTTTTAACCATAGTACTAATCTGCCTCTCAGGTGTATTTTGTTGCATGCTTATAGCCTAGAAAATTAATAACAAAAAATTTAATGTTTTAATGTATGTTTTTCAAGGATATCTTAACCAAAATACCTTTTAAAATGCCAGGTATATACACACAGTCATATATAATACCAAGCTGTAACTTCTGTGGACTCTTGATACAGTTCTGTCTTATAGAAAGACCATATAATATATCAATGAAATGAGAAGTATTTAGTCTTTAGATGATTTTTAATGAAATCTTTATTAATCTGCCTTGATTCTCAATTAAAAGAAATTATTTTAAATTAGATTCAACTTCTTTTGGAGGGGACCTTGGTGGGGGGGATGTTGAAGCAGGGGCAAGATTGTTGCTGATGAGCAAATGCTTAAGAAGCTCTATGTTTATTGCCAGAGTTTGAAATATTAGTTACGTGCACATGCAATCAATGACTAGTAACAACACTATCACATAAGGGGGTCTGTGGGGAAAAGAGGTAGGAGAACAACAACTTTGCACTCAGACTGGTTTTTACTAAAAGAAAGGCTGAAAGTGTGTCTTAAGTGACTATAAAAGGATTTCTGTAAATTAACCAGTAATTAGACACTACCATAGGATATTTTTAAATCAGATAATCTAGGAATTTGAAATTAATTTGTACTTCTGTGCCTTTGATTCAGTCTAGAGGCCTGCTACAAGCAGTCTTGAGATTTAAAAATGAGAATCATCTAAGTTTATACATTAAACTACTTCATTTTTGTACATATTTGTGACCTTACATATGTTCAAAAAATATTTTAATAGGTTAAGGAAATGGAAGGAATTCTGAAGAGAAGATATCCCAATTCTTTACCTGCTTTAATATTGGCTGCATCAGCAGCTGGTGATACAGTAGATAGAAACACAGTGGAATTTATGGAAAAAAGGATAAAAAATCTAGAAGCTGATCTGGAGGGTAAAGATGAAGAAGCAAAGAAAAGCCTGCGTACCATGGAACAACAGTTTCAGAAAATGAAGGTAAGGGCGAGTTAGCCGGAGAGATGGAGCTCAGAGCTGGGACCAAGGAGATGGCCCTTCCTAAATCCTTTTTAACAATTAGCTCTAAGCATCATTGCCCACAAAATTCCTTACCACAAGTGGCAGTAAGTGCAAAAAAAACCAGCTCCATCCTATCTTGTCCTCTTTGAGCAATTTGTTTTTATTTAAGGCATAGGATAATCTTTTCATTGTTAATCTCCATTAGTTTGAATATTAAGAGTAAGTCAAGGATGAAGCAGAGTAAAAACACCTGATACATATTCAGTGTAAAATGAAATTACCAAAATTAAAAATATTTTCACTGAAATTTATGTCCATGAGTAAAAAAATGAGACAAAAATATACATTTTGTGGGTTAGGCCAGGGGAGCATCTTCCACTCCTTTGTGAAGTAGGAATGGATCAAAATGTAAGTGCCTGAACAGACCAAGGATGAGGTATTTAGTTTACTTTTAAATATTTGTTGAGCACAATGTTCTTGTCAGGAGTTTGTGCTAGGTGCTTTAAAGAATATGCCAGTTCACCTTGCACAATTCTTCCAGTCATTGTTCCCCTGGTTTTCAGATGAGGGAATTGGATGTTCACAATTTTACCATCTTGCCCAGAGTGCCACTGCTGGAGGGGGCAAAGCAAGGGCTCAAATCCAAGGCCTCCAACCCCAAACCCTATGCCACAAATGGTTTTAGGAAGCTAGTCCTGCGCCTCACAGATTTCTATCCTGAGAGAAGCAACAAAGAATATTAGATTCCAGGGACAATAAAAGGTTAACAACCTGCAAATACAAAGACCTGAAAATTAATGTCATATCAAGCAAGTTGTGTTTCCTCTATTCCACCCTCTTAAATCTCTCAGCCCCTGTCTGGTTCACTTTGTTTTCTCACTGTTCCTAGTATATGTTCTTTATCACCCATTTCACCCACCTTAATGTCCTCACCTTGTTCCCCCATTTACCCCATCTCCTTCAGTCATGCTACTTTGTATGTCTGAAGACTGCACAATTGAAAGAGCGGGGTTGCTGTAGTCCAGTCTCAGGAAGTCTTTCAGTGCTACTTGACAAGCCTATTGCATGTATCTGATCCTTCCTTCTTCCCTGTTAGTCATTGTTCCAACTTTTTGTCAAGTTTATATTGCCCCCCATCTCTACCCCTATTCTACTTTTAGCAGACCATGTCCCCTATATATCAAGAGAATATAACATAAAGGGAAAAATAAGTGTTAGCATCAGACTGACCTTCAATTGAGGCCCAGTTCCAGTATGACTCTGCTAGTTACATAACCTGTCTGGAAAAGAAATAAACTTACTGCCAATTATTTACTTTTACTCAATTATCTTTCAGTTCTGCAGTTTCTTTAATAACATGTCACTATACAATCATTAATTTAAAAGGCAGGGGGTGCTGGATTACTGTAATAACTTCCTGACTATTCTGCACACAACCACTTTGCCCTATCCTTTAATTCTTGACACTAAAGTTAAAAATTATATTTTTATGTCCGTCTTACACACACACACACACACACACCCACCCATTGTTGATATCCTTCAACAACTTCCTGTTGCTCTTAGTGTAAGTAAATGGCATTTACCCACAGAAGTCCAGACCTTTCCTTGGTTTCCAGTGTTCTGTTTTGTTGTTTGTTTATTTTAATACCATGTTTCTATTCATTCACACCAGCTTGCTTCTCCCATTTTCCTACAGCCCGCATCTTTCCCACAGTGAAGGTGTTCTTATCCTTCAATCCCAGCAAAACCTCCGCTGGATTTCCTGGTAGATGAATTACCTCTATAGGCATTCTCAGTCCCATGCAGCACTCCCTGATGTCATTTACCACAATTGTAGCCACTTGGATTGGATCGGTAGCAGTTTCTGTCCCATTCTAGATGTTGAACTCTATGATGGGTGGGACTGTTCTGCTCTTATTTTCATATTCCATTATTCAATTGGATGCTTGGCGCAGAGTTGATACTAATATTTTAATTAGTTTCTAAGTCATGAGCTATTAGGAAGATCAAGTATCATGTAACACCCTAGTACCATGCTGAAGGCTCTCAATTATGAACTCCAACCCCTCGGCCATTTTTATGTATCTGAATCTACCAATAACTTTTCCCTCTTTACAATATCCACCATCCTACTCTTGCCTCCAGTCCCTACCTGTCACTACCTTCTTTCCTCTCTGATTCTCAGTACACACCAAGCAGTCAGTCACTTTCACATATCCTCTTCCTACTTCCAAAATATCCCTTCTATTCATCCACAAATTTATGCTCATCCCTCAAGGTCAAACTTAAATGTGCTATTTTTGCATTCTTCCCCCCCTTCCTCAGACTTCCAGGAACTGGGATGCCTCTCCCACTCTGCACCATGTTCATAGGCCCATTACTGCAGTGTACATTGTAACTTGGTCTTTTGCTGTCCTCACTAGGGTTTGGTCTATTTGAAAACTAGAACTGAACTTTCTTTTATCTCTAGAACCTAGCACAATGCCTGGTATGGAATTGTAGCTCAATAAATATTGAATGAATGAGCAAACACTGTTAGTTCCTCCCTCCATAGAGTAGACTGTTTAATTTGTTTCGCATACTAAAGCTTAGGTATACAAATTCTGTCTTACTCATTATGAGATTAATAAATTGATATTGGAAGAGTAAAAATGTGCTGTTTTTCTAAGAATTCAAAGATTATTTGATGTTTGACATGGAGAAGGATGTAAATAGGTTAATATTAATTTGCTCATATCAAATTAGTAATGGTTATAATTTATTTACATGAATTAAAATTAATAATATTGATTAAATCTTAAAAATAAATTTAGAGCTTATTAAAAGTTAATTTGGGGGTATACAAATTACATGTATGATTTAATATTTATGATGCAAATTCTCAATTATGAAATTATTGAAGATATATAAGAATATATAATGTTATATCCTTCAGAGAGTAGGACTTCAATATTTTTGACTTAGAGTTGGAGATATCAGAATATATGAGTGCCTCAAGGAAGGACTGGGTAGGGCCTGGTAAAATGCAGAACTACAGTAACTAAAGTGTTGAGCAAGGGCTTGATATTACACAGATTCTTTTCCTCAGATTCAGTATGAACAACGACTAGAGCAGCAGGAACAGTTACTTGCTTTCAAATTGAAAGAAACACCCCAAAACCAACGAGACAGCTCCTCAAGGGTTAAAGCACTAGAGACGGAACTTGAGGACATTAAGGAGGCCCATCAAGTCACTGTAAGGAACCTTGAAGCAGAAATAAATGTTCTCAAACACCAGAATGCTGAATTAGAGCTCAAGAAAAACAGCAAAGATGATAAAGATTTACAGTCTATAGAATTCCAGGTGGAGCAGGCTCATGCTAAAGCTAAACTGGCGAGACTCAATGAAGAACTGGCTGCAAAAGGAAGAGAAATACAAGACCTTTCAAAAACTGTGGAGAGGCTTCAGAAGGAGAGAAGAATGATGCTGTCTAGTCAGAACTCAAAGGGCAGAGAAGAAATGAATGTCAAAAGGTTGAAGAAAGATGTTTTGCATCCAAATAAACGAAATGCAAACTCCTCTGGAACCATGGATAAGAAGTTGTACCAGCCACAAACTTTTACTGATTCTCATCTTTCAGAGGTTTTGCAAGAAAACTACAGATTAAAAAATGAACTAGAGGGATTAGTTTTGGAGAGAAATAAGCTGAAGATGGAATCTGAAGCAGCAGTGAACCAATTTGAAAACTCCATGAAGAGGTAAAATGTTGTTTATAATATATGGGAACATAAAAGACTTTTTTTAAAAAAAAAAAGGTAAAAACATTTTTCTCTGGATCCAAACTGAATCCATAACTGAATTTTAAGAAATTGTGATAAGATTTGTTTCAGTGTAGGGTCTTCTACCTGCTGGTGGACCAGATTCTGACAAACCAAAATCTCCATGTCAACCCAAACTGTCTTTGGTCTGACCAGTCTTGTCTTTCTGCATATACCCAAATGATGTTAATAAGCTGGCCCCTTGAGCCTTTCTTGCAAAGAAATTATCATTTATGATTACTATAGGCAGGTTAACAGGAAAAGATTCTGTTTTCAAAAATAACTCTTCAAACTGTCATTGTGATCTGTGCATCCCTTGGGGAACTTTTGTACTTATTCCTTTCCTCCTTAGAATCTCCCGCTGCTGTCCATGGTCTCATCCTCCAAGCATTCCGTCAACCTCAGATGTTTCTTTCCCTTAGTCAAACCACGTTCTGGTCCTCTTTCTGTCAGTGCCAGTTTTCCACAAGTAGCCACTTTTTATTTCCACCTCTAAAATGTAGCTCTCATTGCCTTCACTCTTTTCAACCTGTTTTCAATATGACCTTTCCCAGCCCAGTGTCTTTCTCCATTTTCCTCAAAAGTGTCGACTACACAACCTTTTCTGAAATGGTTTCTCACATTAACCTTTGTGACTTGGCTTTTCTGACTTCAGATTCCACTTTCTTCTCCCTAAATCTGTTTCTCCATTGCTAAGCTTATCTGTTCTTATAGCTTCATGATTTACTTTTTAAAGCTTATTCTCAGATGTGAAGCCTATTTATTGGATTGCTCCTCTTAGAATCAACATTACTTCAGGCTCCCCCGCCCCCCGTTTTTTTTTTTTATTTTTAATCTTAAAACTAGTCCCCCCTTCCAAGTTCCCTATCGCTGTCTAGTAGCCATACTAATGCCAATTTTCAGGCCCATTTTTACCTCCTCTTTTCCTTGGGTTCATGGTCTATAGAATGCTTCCTTATAAATACTCATCATTTTGGCTTCTTTACTATAGTAAACCAGAGTAGCCTACGCGGTTGACTCTAGTCGTCCTACCCTGATCACCTTGACTTTATTTCTAACTCCCCCAATCATTTTGCTTAAAAATCATTAGTATTCTTTAAATACTCCTATATCCAAGTCACTGTGCCCTCCGGTGAGTCCACACTTCCTTAAATATCAAGACTAAATTTCACTGCCTCAGATCTCAAGCCCCATCACCATTCTGATGCTACTCTACATGACTTACCTGCCACATTCTTCATGCCTTTGCTCATTTGTGTTTGAAATCCTACTGTTCTACCAAACATTTCTTGGACCTTTCCTGAAAATTGCCAGCTCCCACCCCCATCTCCTACATGACTTATAATATGTACCAAGGAAGCATTAATCATAACAGCCTTGTGCCTCCTTGAGAATGGATATAAGAATATGCTTCTTTTACATCCCCGCCAGCAACCTAGTATAGGTGCAGAATGAGCATGGGAAGCACCTAACAAGTGTTTATTGACTGATTGGCAGCCATGTCAGCGATTGAATCATTGTGACAGCCATATTGCTCCTAATCGAAACTTTGTTTCTTCAATCTTGAATATGATAGTGGTATGAAGCTGTTTGTGAAGAATCACATACTTTCTTAGAAATAATTTAAAATTCATGTTTTTCTTATAAATTTTCCTGTACATAATTTTTAAATTTCCTAGTCTGTTCCTCAGATAGCTTGGAGCCCAAGAAATAGTCTTTCCTATTACAGAGGATGTTTTTTAAAATAATAATTCAGTTAGGATTTTTTGCTTTTCCCAGAACTCTAACCATTCCATGAAGAAATATTATACAGTGAAATAAGCAACCGATTAAATTTGTAGTTTTTAAATTGCCATATTTAAGTATCTACAGTGAGTCATTACCTTTTAAGCTGCTTTGGAATTCATCAATTTTGTCAAAGACAGACACATTTACAGTCAAAGTTAAATTCAGATTTTTCCCTTGTGTCCTGAGAATTATCATAAAGATCATTTTATTCTCACAACTAGCCCTAGGATCAAAAATTGGTCAATGCTATCAGGACACAAATAGTGAAAATTCTAAAGCAAGCAGCTGTGATTATCCAAATAAAAATCTAAGGAAGAACTCTGTTTACCTTAGAAGATAAAAAGGTCAAGCAATTTGCTTTAAATTCAAGAAGATATTTTGGAACCTTAGATTCCCACAAAGAATGTAACTGCAGGTTGGGGATCAAGTAGAAGACCCAGACTTTGAAGTCCAGTTTGCTAGACTTGAATCCTAGCTCTAAAGTTTATTGATCTGGAGTCCTAGATATATCACTTTTCCTAAACTCAAGTTTGCCCTTTTAAAATACAGTAAATAATAGTGTGTTCATGGAGTCTCTGTAAGAACTTACAGGTTGTAAATCGTGTTGCATGGTGCACAATATTGATCCCCTCTTACCCTTTGCTTCTTTAATTTCTAGACTTAGCACAAAAATAGCATAACTCTGAGTTAGAGATTGAAGAGCTACTTTTATATGTGATTTGCATTTGCTCCATAGGGTCAAGGAAGATACTGCGGCACATATTGCATCCCTCAAAGCATCTCATCAGAGGGAAGTAGAGAAACTCCTTTGTCAAAATGCCGTCGAAAATTCTTCTTCCAAAGTAGCTGAACTGAATCGTAAAATAGCAACTCAAGAGGTACCTGACAAATTTGTTTTGATCTTTCTTTGACTTTAATGTGATGTTTTTAGGACTGTTAGCAAAACAATTTTTAATTTGTAAGTGCTTTAATTTCACTTTTTGAAGATTGATAATAAAAATGGGAAACTAGTATTGGCTTTTAAGAAAAAAAAAAGATACCATTATCATATAATTTTAAAGGAGAAAAGTTAAATATATCTTTTTTAAAAATTAACTCTACATTTCTTAACTCTTCCTCTAAAAGGTTTGTAACAAATGGTTGAGTCTAACATGATTGGGACATTAGTAATTGAGCTTGAATGTTGAACTACCTCCCTCCCAAGTCCCAACTGACAAGTAATTATCCTCAGCCATTCTTCCTATTATCTTTCATTCATTGAGCAAATATTAAAAGTCTGTGGACAATCAGGTACTAGAAATAAAATAATGAACAAAGCTCTAGCCCTTATGAAGTACAGTCTAAGAACCTGAGGAATGCTGACAACTCATCAGCAATTTCCTTAACAAATGACTTCCTTCTTGGATAATAAGTATATCTGCTTATAATATCTAAAAATATTTATTTACCATGTGGCTTATCTTCTATGATGTTAGTAGGTTGAAAAACAGCATTAAATAGAACTTTTATCTGCAACTTAAAAATCGTGTACCCAAATAGTGGGGAAAAAGTTTGAAAAAAATCCATGAAGAATATGTGAATGTTTGTTTTGTTCTTTATCCTGTTTATAATTTTAATAAAACAAGTTTAAGGAAAAAACAAATTCTCCAATTAGAGAAGTGTATAGACTGGCTACTAAAAAACTGACTTTCTTAAGTATAAAGATGTTACTAAGATTCTTGAGAAATGCCCCTAGTATAAGAGGCATTGTTGAAATATTTAGGGGGTGAAGGGTAATGAAATCTGCATCTTAATTGCAAATGACTTATAAATAGTACTATTCCAGAAGTATTTAAAGTGCTTTTCAAAAGTAACTGTCCATACAAACTCTCAGATAACCTCTCTAACTTTGTTTTCAAAAGAGTAGGTGTCAGAGTAAGTTGTAAGAATTATATTAAGTGATTCTGTAGTAAGGAACATTTTGGAAGAAGTGGGAATAGTAATGTGATGATACCATGGGGCCATAAATATGTTCTTTTCTCAGTTATAAATGCAGTATTGTAAAATTGTGAGTTTAATGATCAGATTATATTGATTTCCATTTAATAGTAAAAATACATCATTAGAGTTATTTTTCATGTTTTCAGTTTCTTGATGTATATCTGTTCTTGTATTTCTATTTCTTTGCCTAAAGTATGAGACTAACATTACAGATACTGTAAGACTTGTATTATTTTTAATTAATAAAAATATAGCATTCTGCTTAATTACAAAATACAAAATACAAAATCCACTCTTTTTCAAAAGCTCCGACATTATAGAGGTTTATTTTTAAAGATTTTTCAGTCATGAGTTGGCTTTCTTATATTTTTCAAATAGTGCTCAAGGGAGAGCTTTATTAACAGTTCTCTTTAACAATTTCCTAGGTACTTATAAAACATTTCCAAAGTCAAATTAATGAGCTGCAGGGTAATCAAGAATCTCTTACAGTTTCTCAAGTTCGAGAAGAAATCCTACAGAAAGAGGTAAGAAATACCAAAAATTTATCTTAGCATACTATTTTGGTTAGGTATTTAAATTATTCATATTTCTCTAATTTTTTTAACTTTAATGTACACATAGATATAAACTGAAACTTATCACAGCTCACAAAAATATTAGTAACTTGCTATATAATGTCTGCTTTGCCCAGCTGAAGCTCAAATTATTAGCAGTAAGTTTTTATATGTTTGTATTTGCTGTTAAAGTTTTATGGTCCAGTGGGATGAGAGATGTTTGGTTCTTTGGGGGTTTTTTAGGAGGTAAAATGGAATAGCCATTTCTGCTTTAAGTAATATCAGGGAAGAAAGATAGTTTATTGTTCAGTCCTCATGAGTTCTTAGTTTGGACTCCCCTGTAACAAGAGATTAATAAGTATGTTTTTCCTTTTGTTAATCTATGCGGCGCAGGCAATTCAAAGCAGTGGCTTAGAACTCTCCAAGTTGGTAGTTTGGGAGAGATTTGGATTAGAAGTTGTAAGATAAAAGATTGGTAGAGGAAAAGAAAAATTTGTTCTTCTCTGCTTGTCTTAATTCAAGTACATTGTCCCATGAGGTGGCTCCCAAAGTTTGGCCTCTATAAAGTAACATTTAAAAGAAAAAACAAAGATTATGGTTAGAAACTGCTTTAAAGACCATTCTGAGTCTAGGAGGGCAAGCCAATCAAGAAGATTTCTAGATTCTGGCTGTTTAAATGTCTGAATGCCCCATGCAGCAACAGGCCTGAAAATTATCCACATGTGAGTTGTGTTGATTCTCTGCAGTTTATATCACATCATTCAGTCTCAGAACTTTAGAAAAAAATGCAGTTTTAAACAATCTAAGTTTTAGTGATTTCAAGCCACAAAGGTGAGAAAACTATGAAATATTATTTTGGTGAATTATATGTATATAGCCTGATATTAAAGTAAACTGGAATTCAGAATCTAGGCCAGATGGCAGTTCGATTACAAAATCTCAAGAGAAAATGAAAAGGGCATGAATCTGATAACCACAGGGGGCATTATAATTTGCTACTGAAACCCAGCTTTATCTCTACATCACATCTGTTTCTGTCAAAGATAATCATAGACTAATTTTTTTCAAAAATAAGTCTAGTCTCATTAGCTTGATTATCCACGTAAATGCAGCAAGACCAGGCTCTTGTTAAAGTCTGCTTTGCTAGAACTTTTAATGAGGAATCTCAGATTGGACTTTCAAAGCATCACCAGATTAGGAAGGATAAACCAAAGTTCTGTCATTAGAATTTGCCTCAAATCTATAAATTTGAGTGGAAGTTCCTGAGCCTATGTCAGATTTATTTCCTGGTTATCAGCATTTACATAAATATCCTGTATACCCTAGTCCTGATGATTAGGCTGGAGGGCTTTTTGTAAATCTTTATGAAAAGGGGAAGTTAAAACGGACAGCTGAGCATTTAGAGGATTTTCCCAGGAAGTTGGAGTTTTAGGAGTTTATTGAGAGGATGAGACCAGATTTTGAGAAAGAAGGACCAGAAATCCAGAAGATCTTCTGGATAGTCAAAGTCAGGGAATTGAGTAAAAAAATTAAAATCTATACCTGCTTTAAATTTCATCAAGTCTTACTTGCATTTTATTTTTGTTTTTGTTTATTTTTTAATCTTACTAAAGGAGGCTCTTAGAATAGCTTCAGCATTGTTTATCCAAACTCACCAGTCTGAGCCTGGTTTTCACAATAGACTTAAGATCTATGTCTATATTCTACCCTATGATTCTCATCCTTATGGCAAGTAATGCAAAAGGCCATCTCTGGGAGGCTATTCATTGATAACCAGCAGCTACCCAAACCAAATCCACAAAAAACAAAAAAATCAAAGAACTGATTTTTTTTCACTGCTAATCTGAATTTAGAAAGGACAAAGGGAAATTTTTACTTCCCTCTCAACAAGGTACTATAGACAGAGATCTGGGAGAAGTAAGTAGTGACAATTCGTACCTTTTACCAGTTTCTGCCAGTTTTCCTACAATCCTATCTATAGGCTCTAGAGCAACTGGAGTATTCCAGAAAGTCCTTAATTGGGGTCTCCACAAACTGTCAGGGAAGAAAAATCTTTTTCTTTCAATTCTCATGAGTTCCTAGTTGAGACAGACCCTTGCAATAAATGACAGATTTTAACACATTCAGTACACATCATGCAAGAGAAACCACAATCAAAAATAACTCAAAGCAGTGGTTTAGAACTATAGCTTACATAGCATCTCCAATAAGGAGCAATAAATTTATAGAGAAATGACAGGAAAGGAAATCAGGTTTCCAAAGGTAGGAAACTGTGGAAAGATAAATATATGGGAGAAAACTAATAGTATAGCTTTGTCTGAGGATTCCTCTGGTGCATTCTCTGCACTAATAAGAGTGCTCTCTAGAGCCCAATAAAAATTTATACCCTGCCTTCAGACAGGAAAAGGTGAAAGATGAAGAAAGCTTCTGCCTCTTAATTGACATAAAATTTTTTAGTTGAAGACAATTAAGAGTATTTTAGAATGACATATTTTTCGAGTTGTCTTTAGTACTGATACTGTTTCATTAGAAATAAAGCAACCATGCCAGGTCACCAATAATGATATTATTACAAGGAAGCTGTCTCTGGAAAACCTACCATTTTATTACTCTATGATCCTTTTGATTCTAGAAAATATGAAGAACTAGAAAACCTGTACATTCTATTAATTGAACCATATGCACCATTTTTTATTATTCAAGAATATTTTAAGTCACATAAGTGAAACAGTTAATTGCATTATTGTGAGATAAATATAAAAACACTTTATAATTATGCCACTAATCAATTTTTTAAGTCTTGTTTTAGTAGTTG